CGTGTACAGGCTCTGTTCCCAGGGTTCTGCACTCGTATTAGGAGACGGTTATTGGTGGTTGTTGGACGTTTGGAACGGTGTTATACGGTTATCGCTCAGACAGAACGACTATTTGTTGTTTTGTTGTTGAGTTTTAGTTGTGTAGTGTCGGTCTCATCTCCGGTCTCCCCACCCGTCATCCACCCTCATCACCGGTTCATTCTCAAATGAGCTGTCGTTATAGGTGTCCGTCACCGCGCATCGATAGTAGTCGCGCGCGAGCGCCTAAAGGGAGGAAGAATCAGTTATTTTGTAGGCGAAATTCTGAGTAGGGGAAGAGATTCAGTGAAGAAACTGACTCGACTTCTTGCAGATGAATGAGCACCACTCTGCGAGTTAACCTCCTGCTCGTCAACAGCGGAAGAGTGACTCGAGGGAATTACAGCTTTCCCTTTGGTGCGGACTACATATCATTCAGTGAGTGAAAGAGAGAGGGACCAACTAACATACAGCTACAGATGAGGGTGTCCACATATTGTTTGCCGAGGCCATAGATTGCGGTCGCATTCGGTGTGGATAGGACCTCTGTGGAGATTCGGATCAGAGGTGCGTCGCCGAGAGCAGTTTCGCGCAGCTGAGCGAATTGTTGATAGAGAAAACCAACGACTCGGGCATGGACGATATTGGCCTCGAGGTCTTCAAGATGTTTCTTGCTGGCCGTGGACCGGGAGCGATCGTTGTAGGCTTCAACAGCAGATGATTCTGCTTCGACGACACAGCTGTATGAGTTCATTATCTTGGGCATGTCAGGCCACTCGAACTCGGGGAGGATAGGCTGGGTGAGTGTGGGCATGATTGCAGACGACAAGGAAAGGCGGTGACTGTGACTTTCTTCTCCTATTGCTCTCCTTTGCTCTCCTATTACAAAGCAACAAGCTGAGGGCGACTTGTGCGCTTTGGTTTGACACCCTGGAGGAGTCTAGAAGACGATACGGGGGTCTGGGGAGTCTTTCTTGCGCGCGAGTCAGGTTTCTGTGGCGTTCTGGGTGGAATGGGCGGCGACCATGGACTTGCCAAATTGAGCCGACCGTGTCGAACAGCGAAAAACGCGTTTTTTCGCGAAAGTAACACCTGTAATCTAAGCTTAGCCATGCAATGCTCCGGTACACCACGTTTCAACGCACCTTGTTGCGATAGAGTTGAGTACTGAGGCGAGACTTTCGGAGTCAAGAAAACAGGATAAACGGCTATTCGCAAGCCAAATTTTGCAACAACGAAGAGGGGGGTCAGAAAACAAGTTATATCGAGCGATTGAATGCCATTCGACGTAGAAGTGTACAAGGAATGAGAGGTGTAGGATATGAGATGGTGGAATGAGAGAGGTTACACAACCCCGGATCAGCGCACTTTCAAGTTGGCACAAGGCGGCGTCCATCAAAACACAACCAAACAAAACGAGCTTTATGGAAGATGAGTACTTAGCTGCTGAAGCCAACACAGGAGCCAAACCGGCGTCTGGCGCAAATACGTGAAAGACAGTCTCATCCGAATTATAATATATCAAGTACATGCTAGTAAGTGCATGCTACAACCCATCTCCCACAATTTTCCAACGCCGACACAACATTTAACAGGCAACAAGTTCCGGTGTCTGAAGCTTCGTAAGGAGGGCCCGGAAACCGGGGTTCCCACCCTGGCCCTTGGTGTACAGCGTCGACGTCAGGTCATTGCCCTGGGGCACGTTCTTGCAGATGATGTTCTGGTGGCGCGCGACCAGCCTGAGGCGCGAATTCAACGCAGCTTGATTGACGATAGCGTATTGGTGGAACTCTTCGGTCAGCAGGTCGTCTGCATAGCATGAGCAGCAGGTCTAGCAAACTTGGAAGAGAAGACACACCGACTATGGCGTTCATCGGCCCGGTAATCATCACGTTCTTGTAGATCTCGAGGGCTTTGGGACGGAAACGATTGGTGAGATTCTCCTTGGTGGTATCCTCAAGGCTGTTGTATACTTGGAACTGCAACAACCATGTGGGTGAGTTGCGCTTAGTAAGCGGTGAACACACTCACATTTGTCCAGTCTTGCGTCTCGCCCGGAAACTCGTGTACGCCAGCACCAACTCCGTCCCAGGTGTACTCTGCAACGGATGGTTCATACGATTAGAGGGATTGAAACAACATACCGAAGACATCAACTTTTGGCGGTTCGACTCCGTCTCTCGCTGCGCCCCAACACGCGAATTGGGCTGCAGCAATGACACTGTCGGTCAGATAGAAACCGCCGGGCACCTCGGGCCTGCGGTGGAAGTCGCCTATTGGAGCGGTCTTCGCGAGGTTCACGCCGGCCGTCAGGGAGGCGCCGTTTTTGGGATCGGTGCCGTGGAAGAGCGTGATGCGGTTCTTCCCGCTAGGGTACGATATGCCAGCACGTGCCTCGTGGCGGTTTAGCGCGAATTCAGCATATCGGGCTTGCAACGCCTTGGCGATCTGGGCCTGCGAGCACTTCTTCGTTGAGGCTGGCGCTTTCGCGGGTGCCTTTGCAGGTGCTTTGGCGGCAGGTGCTGGAGCCTTTACTGGGACGTTTGCTGGAGCCTTTACTGGGGCTTTAGCAGGTGCATTTGCCGTTGGAGCCTTTACTGGGGCTGTTGCTGGCGCTTTGACTGGTGCTTGGGCGGGCGCTTTGACTGGTGCTTGGGCGGGCGCCTTGACTGGCGCTTTTGCCGGCGCCTTGGCCGGAGGATTCGTCGCCTATGTCCCGATTCAGTGAGCGGCGTGGCTGACAAACAAACACAAAATTACGCACCCGCTTCTTCAAAGCCGTGGCGGATCTCTTTTGGCGCCGTCAGTAAGTTAACAGGGCACATGACCAGCGGCGAGCGACGTACGGGTTGTCTGCGCGCTGCACGCGCCTCAAGCGCCTATAACGTAAGCCGCTTCAGGAAAGGTACAGCGGAAGGAGGAAACTCGGCTCACCATTAGCTCGGCGTCGTCCGCTGCGGTAGGCGGCTCGAGACTGCCAAACGCGGGCACTGTCAGGAGGAGCGAGACCAGGAAGCTTGTCGGGAAGCGCATCGTAGTAGAAGGACGTTACGGTGGGGGGAGCGAATGAATTAAAGAAGAAAGTTGCGATCTAGCGCAAACAGAAGTGAAGGAAAGAAAAGCCGGTCTGGCGGCAAGAAGTTGAAGGGCAGGAGTAGGCCGGGGGAGTACTAGGACTAGTTGCAGAAGGGAAGAACCGACGACGATGCTCCATTCCTAGCCACCAAGTGCATACTTATAGCTTGCCCACCGTGACAGGGGTGTCGAATTCCGCAAGCGGGTTGGAAATTCGAAAGACCTGTTTCAACATTCGAGCCACGTTGAGGACGGTTGAGCACACATTTCTGTCAATGGGGACATCGCCGGAAGAGCCGCTGGTTGGCTCAGACTCTCTTTCTCTCCTCCCTCTCTTCATCAAAGCTCGAGCTTCTCATGGGTTTTTTTTGGCGCCTGAGGCATTACATGGCAGGGACATATAATAATATTAGCGCGTAGCTCGACACGGCTTCCAAGTTCCACAACCTTGTCCACCAGTGTGGCGCAAGGATGGGAGGACCGCGTGAGGGATTTGCACCAGCCATCGCGTTCCTGGCAATCAAACAAAAGCCAAACCCAGCTTTTTCTTCGAAAGTGTCCTCAGGCCAAAGAGCGACGAAGCACGTGATCGAGTTGCAGGCTAGCGGCTGTGCACATGTGGCGATCCGCGGCGTCCTTTGTGGGCAAATTGAATTCATCAGCGAAGATCGGATCCGTTTCGGGCCAAACTTTGATCCCTCGGGATTCTCGGAGACCGCCACCAAGGCAAGCCGACCGAGAATCCCGCCACCAAGGCAAGCCAAGGTCGGCCATAGATTGTCCTTGGTGGTATCCTCAAGGCTGTCATACACTTGAAACTGCAACAACATGTGGATGAGTTGCGCTAAGCGGTGAACCCACGTACATTTAGCCAGTCTTGCGTCTGGCCCGGAAACCCGAATACGCCGGCACCAACTACTCATTGAAACAACATACTGTACCCAAGAGTCGAAGACATCAACTTTTACCGGTTCGGATCCTTCTCTCATTGCGCCCCAACACGCGGATTGTGCTGCAGCAATGAGTCTGACACTGTCGGTGAGATAGAAACCGCCGGGCACCTCGGGCTTGTGGTTGCAAGGTACGGCGTGATCCGGCGCCGCGAGCGAAGGACCCCGGCTTGACCCGGGCGAATAGCCGGTCGGCGCGGACGTCGTGGCATATGTGCCATGGCCCATTGGCGGGGACGCGGAACAAACGCGGCGTGCAAGGCGCGAAGGGGAGAAAGATTCTGAAAGATGGCTGGACGGTGATAACGGCGCGGCTGAGGGCCAAAACGTTCAGTCCAGAAGATCATTATTATTACAAAGCAAAAAAAACACTGCAAGCGGTCCAGAGCATCGTGTCGTCCAAGACAGACCAGAACTGACACACCACGTTCCGTACCATCAAGGCCAGTATGGCGCTTCCGAAGGCATTCAGGAGCATCCGAAGCAACACAAGTCGCGCAGAATACTTTAACCTTGTGCTAGATGTGTCGCCGCGATCACAGGCCCTACCAGAGGGTAGCTCACACTCAGTCGCCTTCAAGGCTTCCCGACAACACACAGCAACAAGGTGGTCTTCTGCCCCTCGCTCTCCCTTGTCTTGGCGGCCTCTCGGTTGCACAATGGATATTATAAACCACACTGGGGAATTCCAGGAAGATGGTGCTCAGCCGTCGCTGGTTGTCGAAGTCTGGGTCGATGTCGTCCTAGTTGTCGGTGATGTCATCATCAAAGCTGACAATAACCATGAGAGAGAACCAGAACAAGAAAAAAAGAGAGAAGGAATACTTGGCGATGGGTGAACAGAACAGAGAGGCGAACCTAATGTGACAGTAACCATTTTCCAGCTTAAATACCGGAGTTGTTGGCAGTGCAGCGGAGTCTCGATCGCTACTTATAGAAATGTTTCATACAGAAAAGCTAGAATCCGAAACCCCCGAAGAGCCGTCTAGTGTCAGAACCCAACGGTGCTGGACTGTATGTTAGACCGCCAGTAACTTGAAACGGCGCGCTAGTCCAATCCATCCGGTCACGAGCCTAGTACACAAATAAGAAATGACATGATTCCTTTGACGCGATCGCACTTACACCCCGGTCTCCCAGAAGACGCAAAGTTCTCAAGACATCCAGAGTCCCACCACTTGCAACCGTCTGGGACCGAATGTTCTTCTCCCTGCCATTGGCAATTAAGCGAGCTGGCCTTGAGACTTGCCACAACCAAGTTTGTTCAGGCGGAATATCTCGTTCGTGATTGGCAATGAAGAAGTAGATGGCGGCCAAGTCGAGCTTGTGTGATATACCCAGCGAAGGAACATTGAGAAGATCGGCTAACTGCGTCATTCGACAAGTGTGGTCGCAGGTCGCATTCCGCAGGAGCTATGTCCAGACTATCAATTCGAGACCAAAAGTGGCGACCAAAACAAACCGTGAGATCCCCGCTCGAGATTGTGGGTGAAGCCAGAGAAAAGACAGACATAAGATCACGAGCAAAGAGGGTCTGTCCACAGTCCATTACACCATTATACCACAGTGGCTCCAGTTTGAGAAGGTCGTCGAGAGCGGTGCGAGGCAGGTGAGTAGCCACGTCGAAGAGCATTGACAGGGGAAGAGTTTGAAGTTGAGCACAAAAGACTTCATGGGTCGTTGAACGAAAGCGCAAACAGGAACTTGGATGCGGTGGTCTGTGTTCTTTGCGTTGCTTGCAGCCCCGAGCTTCAAGTTGCTTGTCTTGCTGAGTAGCGGTGAGCCGATTCGGCCGAAGGCGGGGAGCGACAACAGGGACTGGAGGCAGGTAGCGGACGATTGCTGTGAGTCCTTTGCAATGTCTCTTGGTTGGTCTGCTCTCGTCTTCATGATCATCTTCTAGCTACTTGCGCTTTTCGACAGACCCTGGTCTACGAATAGTTGAATGAGGGAAGGAGACAACGCACGGAGACATAACAATGTGTATCAACGGGGTGAACACCCGGTCGACCCACATCTCCGCGAGGAAGAAATCGAACCCCGCCAGGGTATGAAAGTAGATTTCGAGCCCGTCGGCGAGTGGCTTGCTAAACGAAGATTTGGTGACCCCATCACGAACGAGAATACCATAGAACGTAGCATTCGAGAGGAGAGAGTGGCGAGCACACTAGAGTTCAATCAGAAAACTGAATTCCGCGAGAGAGAGACGTACCATGCGTTGTTGCACTGAGCTGCGCGGGTATAATATGTGCTGACTGTGAGCAATTGAGGCGTTGATGTCTAGATCTCCTCGAATTTCACTGTTGTCCAGCGCACCTTTGTTCTCGCGGTTCAAGATTCGTGACGTGGCGACCACACAGCGACTGGAGAGACTTTGAGAAACCAATCTAGGCGGGCTTGGTTGGTTTGAGGGAGTGGTCGGAGTTGAATGGGACGATCAAATTTGCTCTCTGTAGTTGGCGGACACTTCGTACTAGGCGTGGAAGTTGAAGCTAGGGAGTTGTGTTGAGACATTGTAGACGAGCGAGCGTAGGGAAGTTGGGGTTGTGGATAGGATGTGGGAAGGATGTGGTTGGAGAAGAAGAAGGCGGTGTGACCGCGTGCTGGAGTGAATATTCGGTTTTCAAGCGCTTACGTCACCATTGAGCGAGAATAAGTTCAGTCGGATTGCTTGTGCTTGTGCTTTATGTTGGCGTACAGTACAGTGTAGAGACAAATCGATTATAGGGTACGATAATATGCATGCATGGTGGTACAGATGTGTTGTTCGTCAATGCCAGAAAAGGGAGAGAAAAAAGTCATAATTTCAGAAAAGCATCATGCCATCCTGGTCGTCACTCTCGTCGTCGTCACCGATGAAAAATTTAGGCCGTTTCTTGGGCTGCGGCTGTATTTTCTGTAGGATCTCCGCTTGTTGGCGTTCCCGCTCCGTGTCAATGCGGACAAGTTCAATGAGGAGTTCCCACCGCTTCGCCCAAGAAGTTTCCCAGCCGACACCGAATGGATCTGGACGCGTAACGATAAACTTTTCGAGTTGTGGATGTTCCTCCTCATTCGACAGCGAAATGTCAGCCATAGTCTCGTCTTGGGTTTCATCGACCAATGTTGAGTCCGAGTCGTCGCTAGCACTGGAAATGGATGCAGCCATAGACTCGTTCTCGCTAATTTAAACATCGTCATCAAAATCGATTCCATCGTCGTGATTTGCTTGCCAAGCAGCCCACAAATGGACATCATACATCCACAGTGTCTTGGAAATCGTCCATGGCTGCATTCCTACGAAGCAGCGATCCAAATGGAACAGAACAGAACAGAGAGGCGAACAGTAACCATTTACGTCCAAGACTTTCTTCTCTGAACGACTGTCTTCACGGGTCAGAAGAAAGGAGTGCGAGCGAGACTACACGAGCCTATGAGAAATGGTATGATTCTTGTGAGGCAATTGAACGTACACCTTGGTCTCCCAGAAGACGCCCAGTTCTCAAGACCCTGACCAACGTGGTTCACTTTCATCCAGAACGAAAGCAGGATTTACAGTACACTCTATGCATATTAATAGTCACCCTGTCCCATTAGTTCTGTATTACAGCCTCACATAAATTTACCAGAAGTGAATAGATCCTGGCTCTCTCCCACCCCCAAGCCGTACCTGCACGACATTGCCCGTCATTGATGAGAACTACACAGAAAATCAGTCAATGAAGGGGCACAAATGGAGTCACCCACCCCTACACCAATGAAGCTCTCTGCCGCACCCATAATTCCCTGGTCAACAGCCTGGCTGACCGTCAACGCTTCTCTCGACATCTTTCCCCCCGACGCCAAGTCCAGCGAGCTGGCCACCCGCTCCCAGCCGTCCTTCTTGAGCGCATCTGCCAACTCTTTAACCCAGTCTTCCTTCCCATTCGTCGATATATAAACACTCCTCAGCTCCTGCGGCTTGCTCAGCCCCCATCTCGACTCTGACGCTCCCTTCCGAATGTCGTTTGCGCGCTTCGTGATCTGGGCAACTGACGGCCAGCAGTGCGCCAACGCTGCTTCTTTCTTGCCCTCTCCTTTTGGCACCGACAGATAGTCAGGGAGTGCCGGGTATTTGTAGCCTTTGGGTATCGCGCTGCCAATGAAGCCTGCTTCCGGACCAGCATTGGGGTCGCCGGGGTAGCCTGTGCCCGCTTCTGGGGGCACTTTTATTCCAGGCGTGCCAAATTTGTCGAATGTTGTGTATTCGCTGCCGACATCAGCGAGGAAATGACAGTGGCCCTCGTAGTCGCCTCTACGGACATGAATTGCGAGCAGGCCGGGTATGGGGGCAGCATCAGCGCGCAAAGGATGGAACGCGTTGTAAGAATGTCGTGCTGGAGGAGAAGAAGACGGTTGGAGATATGGTGGGATTGCCGGTGGCGGTGAAGGTGGCGTTAGAAGATGGTAATGGTCGTGAATGGTCTTCGTGACGAGTGGCGACCACGCAAATTCGCGTAACGTAGAGCCGTTGCTGTATGCTGGCCATATGCTCAGCACTTTGAAACCACCAGTAAACCTGCGGCAAGGTTAATTATATTTTGATCAACAACGGCGGCAAAGTTCTTACCACCAAGGGAATATGGACCCGCCAGTCACAACGACGCATCGGTCTTCCATGTTCTTCAGCTTTTTGGCCCACCGCATCATTCGCTCGTCCCCTTCCCGCTCATCATCCATCGCGAAACCATGCATCACATCATTGTAGCCGATTTCTTTCCGTTGCTCGCCGCAAACAGCGTTGAAGTACTCTATGCTGACTGCTCGTCGGATCATGCGGTCGCTCGCGTCTGGGAGTAATGGGGCACCAGTTGAAGCACCCGATATGATAGCATTGAGGGGGATCCTTATGTGATGTCGGTCGCCTGATGGCAATGTGTCTGGTAAAGGCGCGTGGTCTCGAGGAGTGAAAGGGTGGAAGACCATGGATCGGTCGGATAGTGTTGCAAGGTGTGCGTGTAGTAAGCTGTGGACATGAGTTGATGGTAGGACGGTGCTCGTACCAAACTCACAATTCTTGCATAACATTATTCCAGCTGGTAGTTTGTCAGTGAGGAGCTTCCCATAGTGGAAGGAGCGTACCCAGAGCCCGGGTCTATATCCCGAACGAACAGATACCTAGTCGCAGTGAGCGAAATGCCTCATCTTCACTTAGCTAACCCACCTTGGTCTAGGATGCGGCTCCGTAAACCTGTTTGGTTGGAAATGCTGGCCCAGCTTCCTCTCAAACTGCCAAATATCTTCATATGACGGGAAGCCCAGTTCTTGCGCCTGTGGGTCTGCTTTCATGGGTCCAAAGTCGAAGGGGGGGCCAGGTGGTAACGCCTCGCTCGAGCCAAGGTATAGTGACGTGCCATAGCCCTGATGCGCAAGTAGCCACAGTAAGCCCAGCGCTGTAGCACCAACGCTTATTCTTCCCCAACGAGAGGAGAGGTATCGGTTGAGGGTCAGCGACGAAGCCATGAAATTTTTGTCACGTTTTCGTTGATCGGCATGTCTTTCCCTTTTCCATTCAGCTGACGATCCTACTTACTGATGTCGACTCTCCCTCGTTCCCCCAAGAATTCACGGTTCATTACCCAGAAACGGCCGCACTCGGACTTTGATGCGGGAATCAACTCGTCGACTGCTTGGACTGAGCATCTCGAGGCAACTGGGTCGCTCTCAGATGATGAGCCTGAAGAGGAAGATGGAGAACACCGTCAGGCTCGAGCCTTGTACAACTTTGAAGGAAAGACGGAGTTCAGAGAGCTCAGTGTCGAAGCCGGCGATGAACTAGAAGTGGTTAAGGAGGATCTGGCTGACGGGTGGAGTTTGGTGAAGAATGTGGCAGGGGAGATTGGCCTATTGCCAAGGACATACTATACGGTGCGTTTCTCTATTTCTCTTTTACTGTCCATAGACTCATATCTGTAGTTTACCGCCGATTTTACTACGGCACCTGAAGTGTCCCTTTCTGGTTTCACTACCCATCACCAACGGGATGCATCGAGCAGCACGATAACTCCACGGGGGTCGTTACGGACCGAAGAAATCGTGCCTCAGAACACCGGGGAGTGGAGAGCGGCATTTCCGAGTTTCCGTCAAAGCTTACTTGGAGGGAAAAGTCTCAATCGGTTTTCTACATTTGTCACGAGTGGTGCGGAGGAATGGGTACTCAAGGGGTCGGCCGACTCGGAAGCGGTTCTAGCAGCGCAGGCTGCTGCTGAAGCTGCCTCTCATCAACGATTTTCAACAGCCGATGAAGATGATTCTGAAGAAGCAGAAGAGGAGCGAAATCGCCTCAATCGACTTGGTTTAGGCGAAGCAGACCACCACTTTGTCGATGCAGGACACAACTGGAAGACTAAACTACCCCCCTTCCAAGTCTTAGTTCATTCTCCATCAAAACGGACCTCGACACTGTCTGGCTCGTTCACCATCTATAATGTAACCGCACTATTTCACCCTCCTCCAACCGACAACGACTCTTCTCCTGGTTCGCCCACGCGCGTTACCGTCTATCGCCGGTTCTCCCACTTTGTTATCTTGCATACCGCTCTGACCCGACGACTTCCCGGAATCGCCCTTCCACCGCTACCCGAAAAGCAATATGCTGGCCGGTTTAGCGAAGACTTTGTTGAGGCCAGAAGAGGAGATCTAGAGCGTTACATCTCTCGCATAGTCCGACATCCAGTTGCCCGGTATGCGGAGGTCGTCACTTTCTTTCTGGGTTGCGAGAGTGATACCGTATGGCTTTAGCTTTTCTCTCTGATTACTCCCTTCTAATCTCCTGAAAGGAATGGAAACGCTTAGTTCCGCAACACCTCGCAATGCCAGCTGCAGGCCCCTCATTCTATGCCCGCGTGTTCCATCCCGACTTCAACGTTGATGCAGACGAGGCCTCTGACGCTGTTGAGCGATTCGACACACATACGCGAGCCGTGGGAAAGGGTGTCCAGGGCCTACGTAATATCTTCGGCCGTGTCCGAGACGCACGAATCGAGATGTCCAAGGCCGAGCGACTTCTGTCATACTCGCTGCTTTCCTTGATCACCTCCCAGACACTCGCCTCTGCACCCGTCACAGGAGCCAGTGTTGAAGAGGAGGAATACAACGTGAAGGGTAAAGGTTTGTTGAATGAAGACGGTGCTTGGTGTTGGCGAGAGGGGTGTTCAGATTGCTTGAAGCTCACTAATGCCATGCAAAAGACGTCGGAGGTGCTGCAAAGTGTGGCTGATCTATACGATGATCATGTAAGCCCACTCATGGCTTAGAATCACCCTCTGATTAGTTTTAGGCTCGAAGAACACAACTATCGACCCACGAGGCGCTCAAAGGTGTCGCCCATCCTTCTTCATTATACCAGGGCGTCATCACGACACATCGATCTACACTGAGCCGGTATTCCCAAGCTACGACTAACCATGTTCGTATTGCTAGTTTTCAAGTTCCCTACTCTGACCTGGAGAGCAGACTGATGACGAAATGGCCTCACGATGCGAAACAGTGTTAAACACCACCATGGCCGAGATGGAGACCTATCACACTCAGAAGACGGAGGACTTTTCCACATTGGCGAAGGACCATCTCGACGGCGAAATTGCCTTTTACGAACAAGTACTCAGCAGACTCAAGACCGCCCGCCGCGGCTTTGACGAGCCGCAATTCACACAACTCGGCGCGCAGGCGAGGCAGGCGTCGATATATGAACGCGAACTGGAGCATCCAAGACTGACACCGCCACCGTTGTCTCAGCCGGCACCGCATGTCTTTGATGCGGCGCCAATGCGACCAGTTTCTGTCGCAATCCAGGAGGGAATGGGCATGCTGTTGGGCCCAAGTTCACGTGGGAGTGTGTTTGGCAAGTTCTGGTGAACGGACTGGATCTATTGGCATGTAACTTATTTCCTTCTTTCATAATCATTACGGACTCTTTGCAACGGTGGATCCAAACCTCTAGTTCCATTTTTTGGCCTCGATGTACTGCTAAAAATAAAAAATGAGCCCGAGTCTTGTTATGCGTCGGTTACATAAGGAGTGAGTTTATCATAGAGGATGTCCATTGAGTGCCTGACATGTCTCCAAAAGCTCCTCGAGGATGTCATCTATCCCGAACGAGTGCAGAAGGGAACTCCAGTGATCTCTTGAATGAATGAGGATCAGATCCAGCATGTCACGATCAGGCTGAGTAGATTAGCGCATTGAGGCAATTCAAGTCCTGCAGAACAACGATCCTGAGATTTGAATTTCACAGAGGGACAGACATGTTTTGGAACGATGTGTAGCCATTCAAGAGTCTTTCCTCCTTGTAACGCTCACAATATTTCTCAAACTTCTGGCGTGTCATCTGGCTGTACGGCGGGGCACCTTCGCCAAAGAGGTCGAGAAGATGGTCGTGGTACATCCAAATAGTTTCGATGCTCTCTCTGGTCAAGGGTTTGCCGTCCTGGCGCATTACTGTGACCGTTCCGACACACATTTGCCATCTGGGGTCTTTTTAAAGAAACAAATGAAAGTACGGGAAACTCACTCAGGCGGCGCGAAGCCATCGACTGGGTTGATCATGAGATAAGTCGCCCGCTGGTTATCGAGCCTGGCAGTGCGCTCCATTGAGAGTGGGTCTTCTTGTAGATGTCGGTATATGACGATGGAAAGGCCAACCTTCTTGGACATCGGGCAGACGACGCCCTTGGTGTGGATCGGGTGAGAAGGGTCAAGGTCGATCTCGTTGAACAGGCCGTTATTTTGGCGGGTTTCACCATCGCACGCCATAACTATGCCGCGAACGGTTCCTTCTGGACGACAGACGCGTTTGTGTAGTTTCCAGTCTGCAGTCTGGCATTCCGTGGACTAGACAAAAGACCCACAACGCATCTTGGGCGCTCGTTGCAAGAGAGATAAGTATATATACTCACGCAGTACTTCGCTTGTTTGCACCGAGAGCACTGTTTCAACGGCCCAGTAGTCTCTGGTGTGCCAAGGGTGTTGCAGTGGTTGCACGGCATGGATGTAAAGAAGTCAAGACGCGCCGTGGTCACGTGCGCTACAGTGCCATCATCCGCCACCTCCGCCCATTTATGCACTGAGATGTCCGCCAACGGCCAACCCAAATCCCCCACCTCTCCCCCATCGTCTGCGGTGGCTTCTAGACTGTCACTAGACAGTGACCGGAGCTCTGCACCATCCCCGCTGAATGGCGTCAACGGAACTCATGTCAATGGCGATGATGAACCTACGGACCCCATTGAAAAGCTTCAACGCGAGCTGGAGCGGACAAGAGAGGAGAAAGAGACCCTTGCTACGCAATACCGCAACTTGTTGGCCAAGCTAACTACGATGCGAACGTCTCTGGGGAACAAGCTTAAGCAAGATGCGGTATGTGTCTTCCTTTGCTTTCTATTAAGGAAAATAATCCGAACTGCGGTGTAGGAAGAGCTGGATAGACGAGAAGCGCTTGTTCAGCAACTGCAGCAGCAAAACGATGAGCTTACTTCGACCGTAGAAGTCCTCAAGGAGGAACTCATTTCCGCATCTTCGGAGGCAGAGCGGGCGACCTCCGAACTCTCGAAATTGCGCAGTCGAGCATTTGAGGAGAATTCTCAAGAGACGATGCTCAGAGAACGGGAGCTACGAGAAACTCAAACGGAGCTGGAGCGGTGTCGAATGGAAAAGGAGGAGTGGGAAAGGGCAGCCGCGCAAGACAAGGTGATGGCGGATGAGGCAAGGAGCACTGCGGACATGTATAGGCGTGACCTGGAACTGGAAAGGGAGGCAAGAGAGAGGGAGGCGGCTGAATTGGAGGCTGAGCGAGAGAGATGCAATAATCTCCAATCCGTGTTACAAGACTTCCAAGCCGGTACGTATCGAAATTCCGCTTGACTTCAGCTTCTGACTCTCATTCGCAGCAAAGGACCATGAACTCCGGCAGGCAGTCAAGGACTATAATTCACAATTAATGCAAGCAACACAATCACTGGCTGAATTCAAACACCGAGCATTAACCGCTGAGGTTTGCTACCGTTTGCGGTTCACTCACGCGGCTGATCGTAAACCCTAGCTCGAACTCGAGGAAACGAAAACAAATACCTCTCGGACACAAGAGCTAGAAAGAGAAGTAAAGGAGAAGACCGTGATCGTCGAAAAGCTGCGGCATGAAGGTAATGCTCTGGTGATCTGCCTCTAACGCGTTCTGACATTTCCTAGCCATAATACTCAATGAACATCTTATGGAGGCTCTACGCCGGCTACGGCGGAACACGACCGATACCAATGTCGATAGGCGCCTCGTCACAAACGTGCTTCTATCTTTCCTTACAACACCCCGCGCCGACCCCAAGCGTTTTGAAATGCTCACACTTCTTGCGTCCATCCTTTCTTGGTCAGACATTGAACGCGAAAAAGCTGGCCTTCAACGCGCAACCTCGCTTGCACCTCCCTCTTCATCATTTTGGGGTCGAAGCTCAACTTCTTCTGCACCCAAGAGCACCGAACTAGAGAAAACGGATGAAACAGAGGTGAATCGATTTCCTCTTTTCTGTTCAAATCCAAGCACTAACAGCCTTCAGTCTTTCTCGCGACTCTGGGTCGAGTTTCTTCTTACAGAGGCCTCCGCTGGCCAGAGCGACCCACCAACGCAGTCTCAGTCTAATCCCGGAACGCCTGTCCGGGCAAACAACTCGCTTCCCAACTCTCCGACGAGTCCCAACATGAAAGGCCAAGGCACACGACGGTTGGCGTCATTTGGCCAGCAAGCGGCACTGAACAACATGTCTTCACCGACGCTACTTTCACCACCGCTTCCACGGAAAGGAAAAGAGAAGGAGGTTGATGGATCGGCCTCATAGGACCTTTGTTTAGCATTTCTTTTTTAGTCTTGACCTTCACACTGTATTATTATTGCTCCTTCCAACAAGTCGCTGTCTACCAACCGCCAGGATCCACAATGGAACTATTCTGAAAACAGTGCTGAGAGGCAGACGAGGAGATAGGTGCCCTACACACCGTTTTGTTTTGCCGCTTTGTTTCGCAATAAATGAACACGAGGATGAGGAATATTTCGTCTTCCACAAGTGCCGTTTTGGTGAGATGCAGGAGTGTAGGTGGCTGTTTGCTGAACAGATGTGGACGAGGAACAGCGAAACGGCCAGCGATAAGCATGTTTTGATTCAAAGTCGCCTCGAAAACACGTTGTTTAGACGAGCTTAATTCTGTGTTTACTTACTTTCCATTCTTCGCCTTCGAGAAATATATGATAGTCCTTACGGTCCTGCGACCAACGCCAATGCTGCGTTCTAGATACGAGTAAGAGCACTGACAGAATATAGAGTATGGGCTCACCGATTGAAGAACCTCCCGGTGTGCCTCCTCAGCTCTGAGCACGGTTTCCGATGGCCCGTTATTTCCAGCGACTTCTCTTGCCAGTGAATCGCGCCAACCGTCGCCGACGCGCCAGGAATAGGATTCTCATCCAGCAGGACAGTATCTTTCCTTCCACGATAGCCAAATTTTGTGCGGAGAGTGTAAAGTACGGAGTTGTCATGGACTGCACGGATGTGGGCGTTCAGGATGTTTGTTTTGTTGTCGAAGACCGCTTCCATTGTGGTGGCCAGGGAGAAAGAGACCAAGGGCGCTACTGCGCATCATCATGGACGTGATTTCCACCTCGGCTCCGAGTAGCTAGCAGCGGCCATTTCCCCGATTCGAGCTCAGCTCAAGCTCAGCTCAGTCTTGCTCAAAAGATAACTTGATCTTGCGACTAACGTCGGTCATAGCCCGAACTTGCTTGACTTTTCTTGTCGAAGGTTTGCTGGGATAGGCCTTTCTCATCCTGCTAGAGAGGGTAATTGATCCTCACAAGAAAATGGCAAACGCTGAGTGACTAGTCACGGAGGTCACATCAACTGTCAACTTGAACCAACTCTCGGCCAACTTGTTTTCTGGTACAAACAAGCAATGACCTCCGCACCAACCAACCCAGTAGACGTGCCGCCATTCCAGATTCAAACCCTTATCTCCCAAAAGAACTTGACCAATGCTCGTTGCGGATGTGCATTAGGTTCCGAAATCTATGTGGGCTGCTCAAACGGCGACCTTATCCGTTTCGCGCTCCAAGCCGACGGACCAAACTCGTTGGAGTCCTACAGTGAAATTTCGCGTCAATCGCTTCCCAATGAGAAACCTATTGAGGAAATCGTCATAATACCCAGCCTTTTCCGTGCATTAGTCTTCTCCGACCACCAAATCCATTTTTATACCCTGCCTACGCTGGACCCCGTTCCTGCCAACGTTATCAAGCCTATCCGACATGTCTACGCATTTGCTGTAGACCAGGCTCAATTGAGGCGGCCTTCCCCGCCGCTCTCTGCACCAATTTCGAGCCAGGAGCCAGTCGACTTCTGCGTCATCAAACGAAATGCGATTGCGATGTACAGTCTCCGGGATCGGTTGTTTTACCAAAAGGTACTCCGTCCGATATACTTTGTGCTGCGGAATCACAAAGCTTCGTATAGGAGATTCCTCTTCCGACTGGCGGTGTTCTTGCCCGTCGCAGTGGCCAATACCTGTGCATAGCAGACAAGGCACAATACAACCTTGTCGACCTTGCCAACGCCTCTTTAATACCAATGCTGCCGGTAAACCAATCGCCAGATGCTTTCAATGGCGCTCCCAGCATATGTGTAACGAGCGAAAACCCCGCTGAATTCTTAATTCTCTCGTGGACTGGCGCTAGTACACTCGGTGTTTTTATCAACCACAACGGAGACCCGGTTCGCGGGACGCTGGAATGGCCTCACCACCCTCGAGCTGTAGTTCTCGACTATCCATATGTCGCAGCGCTCCTCCCAAATCGAACAATTGAAATACACAGCCTCGAAACCCAGTCAATCATGCAAGTTTTACCGGCCCCTCATGACGACTCTGAGGCGCGGTTGACCCTTTCGACTGCCCTGAGCGCGTATCTAGTTCCTAGCACCCAGAAATCAGACAAAATGCGACGCGTTCCAGTCAACTTGTTCAGGTCGTAGAGGGTCCGACCTTGTGGAACACAGCAATTTGGTGTCCGGAGCCAGACGACGCCGAACCGGGAAGCCACAGACGTCACGAAAACGAGATTGGCGAGGGTTGGATTGACCCGCTCCGGGCGGAGTTCCCGCCAATAGCATCTGTTTCGTTGAGCGGAATAGGATATGTGCCTGGGACGCCTTGGAATGAGCATGCACTGCCGCTCAGCGACTCTAACTCGGTTTGATATGTGTCTTTCGGTACCAAAATACATTCGTGGGTCCACATCATCGGAGTCAAATTTGGAAAAGATGACTTGTTCGATCGAGCCAGAGCGTCTATCCGTCGTCAGGATCTGGCTTCTTGCCATCGGTTGCCTCGGCAAACCACTCGAGTGGGCCCCCGATTTCAATGCTCAAAGCGGAAGCAAGGGCCATCCAGTGTTGCAAATCATCTCGAAACCCGAATTTATGGGCAGAGCTTCCGGAGTCATCCTATATCTGCAGTCATTTCCGTCATGTGCAAAACATGCTGGATGTGTCGATGTCGGTGAAAGAGCTTGATATAATTTGTTGCTAAAGTGAATGAAACTAGGAAAACTTGCGTCTCAGAAATCAATGAGTTCATCGCAAATTCACCTGTTGCTGCGGTATAAAGAGGTCAAGAACTGTTCAAAAGAGTAATAAGAACTTCCCAATTGCCTCTGTTTCAAGAGCATCACATGTCCAGCCGCCCTTATACTGCTTCGCCTTCTCCATATTCCACGCGACCTCCTCCGCCAGGTCACCAACGCAATCGAATCGCTTGCACTAACTGCCGTAAACGGAAAATCAAAGTAGGTCTTCGCTTCGTTGGGATCCAACTATTAATCTCTGTTGTAGTGTCCTTCATCTGAGAAGCAGGCTGGTCAGCCTTGTGCCCGTTGTGTAAAAGACGGACTTGTCTGCGAATATTTACCGATCGATGACGGCGATCATGGCCAACCACAATCCCCGCGTTGGCTAGAGCCGCTTGATCCTGAATCATATGCACGCAGTGCTCATCGAAACCAAAGCGCTACGCCAGCTCCTCCGCCGATGCTGCAACATGTTGGCGGTGGGCCGAACTTAGGGCACGATCCTTACCAGCAATATTATGCCCATGGCCAGCCAACTTCAGCTCAGTACGGATATGCCCAGCAAGGTCAGGGGTCAAATACCTACCAGAATGTCCACTATGGACCTTTCCCTGGCCCCGCCAACACTGTCTACCCATGGTCTCAACCTCAAGCAATGCAGTACAATAACGGAGGGTGCGTGTGCGAAAAGCCAGCAATGCGTTTGCGGAAGGAGGATGATCTAATGATAAGGCCTGGAAGACCAAGATAGAATGCTCTAATCATACTAGTTAGTACTACATTATCCCGCGTTTTAATTGTGCCTCGGCCGTTGTCGTGTCGCGTTTTTGATTTTTTGTAGTCCGTGGAATACTTACTAAGTATGTTTATCCTAATGAATGGAGGCCAGCCGCGTCTGAATGAGGCAGCTTCGAAAGTTGTACCAAAAGAATCAAGATCACTACGCATTGCGGTGTCTGAAAGAGTCCAAAGACTCACTGGCAGTGGCATTTTGAACTTCCGCTGACAGTTGGCCGCTAATCTTCTGGACTCCGCATGTCGTCGGGATCCCAACGGGATCCTCTCCACGGCATGGGCCGCGTGGCAATCCAGATTTCGATTGATGCAGGTTGCCATGTGGCATGTGTTTGGATCGCGCGACGCGTCGCATCGCGACATGTCACGGCGGCACGTGTCGTGTCATGAGCATGCTTTTGCTGTTGATTACCACTCGCAACGACCAACGCGATGTCAACCACGGGAAATGGCTTGAAATGCGTCCACAGCGCTCATTGAGCGCCCTCCGCCAACTCCAGAGTCCACCGAGCACTCTGTCAACAGCCAGTGAATGATTCAGACCCAGAACCCATCAGAGCTGCAAGGGTATTTATATGGGTGTTGGACAGCAGGCTTCGTCGGTCGTTTCCATGTTGTTTTGGGGTCTGCCTTGGGTCCTACGGCTCCTACCACTCGTTACTGCCAACAGCTATTCTGGCGCTCAGAAGACTGTCGCGCCGTCATTGTCGAGTTGGAAGGCGCTAAACTCTTCAGTTGGGGGTAGATTGCGCACTGGAGTTCCTCTTGCTCGACCGTATGTTCTCCGCGCTATTCTCAACCCCGTCGCTCGCCGCCCCCGTCTAACTACGAACTAGATGTTTCGAATTAGCAGACACCGCTGGAGCTACCAACCAATCTGAATGTGCTGCGATCCGTCAAGGATGGTCCAACAGCCGTGCGTAACCAGCCTGTACTTGGCCATTCTTAGCATGTGCAGTGTTTCTCGTTGAGAATTTTGGCGCCTACATGAATACACAATGGGGATCGTGCCAAGCCACTTCTCAATCGTGTCTTATTCATGGTATTAACAGCAGCGACCCGGCTCCTTCAGATCCGCCTAACATCTGTCGCCAGGGCAGCGTTCCGCCATACTATGTGTGTACTTCTTCCCGTTTTTGAAAAAGAATAACAGGTCCTTAGATTGACGTCCGTGACGCATCTGACGTGCAGAAAGCACTGGCTTTTTCAAAGAACACTGGCATACCGCTTGTTGTGAAGAATACCGGAGTAAGCCCAGAAATCCTTTGCCGCAAATAATGGCCTTGATTCCGTTTAGCATGACTACCTCGGCCGAAGTAGTGCCCCTGGCGCGCTCGCGTTATGGACCCATAACCTCAAAGCGGTGAGTTGTGACTATGAAGAATTGATACTGTACTTCATGACATGCGCCTTAGATTTCATACCATGCAGCCTTCGTGCCCTCAGGTTGTCCTGTGTCTCGTGCAAAACCCGGAGTCACAATGGGCGTTAGTGAATCAACTAAATTTCAAGTCATTGAATTAATCTGCGACAGGCTGGTGTCATTATCAACGATGCGGTGGCTTTCGCAGAGCAACATAACATTACCCTCGTTCTCGGTTCGGGCTTGCAAAAACCGTGTTGTCCTTGGCTGAGTTATTTTAGGTGCTGAAACCTCCGTTGGGCCATCTGGTGGATGGGTCATGGTGCTTTTCGGTTTCCGTCGGTGAAGAAAATGTTTAATTTTGGTGCTAGGGCGGTGGTCATGGAGCGCTTGCAAATACGCAGGGCTTGGGCGCCGACCGTGTGGTGAGTCTATTGAATTTAATCATTCCGTATCTCATCGATACCTAGCTCGAATTCAAGCTTGTAACACCCACCGGCCAACTCCTTGTTGCCAATGAATGCCAACACACAGATCTATTTTGGGCTTTGCGCGGAGGTAGGTCATGGCGGCCTAATCATAATGATGCCTGACGCGTTTCGGAGGTGGTGGCGGAACTTTCGGCGTCGTCCTTGAAAGTACCGCGCTTGCGGCGCCAAGGCTGACTCTTCAAGTTGCATTCGCTGCATTTTCGCGCAACAACACTAATGCGACCCGCGGCTTGTACGAAGTGGTGGCCGAGAACTCAGTGTCGTGGGCACAGCAAGGTTTGGCTTTCTCTTTTATTTGTAAGACGCGCATTGATGTTCTCTTTGGTCAGGTTTCGGCGGCTACATTGAGCCCTACCAGGCATTATATGTAACACCTACACTGAACAGTACGGCGACGGCTGTCACAATGAAGCCGTTGTTCGACTATGTGGCTTCCCTAGCTCCAAAAGACCCTGGAGTTCAATTTTTCAGTGTAGAACTGCCTAGCTATGGCGCCTTTCATGAAGCATTTCTTGCGGGAAGCGGTGCAGTAGGTCGACCAATCATATTCTATTGATTGAGTCGCTCACCGAATACCTCAGACTGTAGGCGAAAATGCAGCGATTGCGTCTCGGTTGATCCCGACAGCAAACTTCGCCAATGCGAGCTCACGTGCGACACTGGTAGATGCACTGATGGAGACCCTTGCCCATGTTACCTTTGATCTGACCCTTATTGCAACAACTCCCTTCAATGTCCCAGACGATGGGACGACTAGTGTGACCCCCGCGTGGCGGAACTCCATCTGGCATGCTGTCGCTGAGGGTGGGTGGGACGGTGCAGCTCCGCGAGCGCAAGAAAAAGTGGCTTATAGTGGTATAAGCGCTGCCGCTGACTTCCTGCGAGCAATTACGCCTGGTGGTGGGGCATATCAAGTGGGTATTTTAGCTTCCATGCGGTAGCCTTCCGTGCTGAAATTGAAGCAGAATGAAGCAGACGTTCACGAACCGAACCACGAGACATCCTTCTGGGGGCCAAATTACCCTCGGCTCCTCCAAATCAAGAAAAAATACGATCCAGACAATATTTTAACCTGCTGGCACTGTGTGGGCTACAATCCCGCCGACCCGCGATTCGCTTGCTACATCTAATGCGTTGATTGATAGACCTGTACTTGCATACCTATTTTCTCAGAGTATGTACTCAGGACGTCGACGCGTTGTTATCCTCAGCACGTGCCACTTGTCACACATCCATTTCTTGTTTCTTGACCAAAATGAGTCGCGAGCAGTCCCAACCTTCCTTACGCGTCAACTCCAAGCTACTCAACCGCTACAAAGGAAAGAATGTCCGCCTACCATGCAAACTCCTCAAGGCGCGTTTGTCATCAGGCCACTTGTGCCGTCTAACTTTGCCCAGACGGACGACAGTACTATTATTGTCGTCGCCTCTGACGGCGGGGAAGTCTCGATAACTCGTCCACCTGTGCGCCCAATCCATTGCTTTCTTCCCCCTTTCCAATCTTTGACAGAGTGGTCCTTTGAAGACGAATGAGTACTACGAAGTGCTGGGTATTGTCAAGGATGGTACGAGCCTTAAAACGTATGCTATAACTCCGTTGGGGGAAAACATTGGTGCGTAACGCTGCGTGCTCTTTCTGGACCTGTTGGAAAGCTGATGACTCATTCCAGACATGACTCTGGTTAATGACACAATCAACCTCATGCACGACAGTCGCTTCTACGATGCGATATTTAAAGACGACGAAACAGCATCTTAAAGAGCCTATGTAAAAGTGTGTATTCTTGTTTCTGTACTACCAACCAGATCTCCTTTGTGCTCTACAACTTGGATTCGCGTTTTCGCGTCGCTCTATAAGCCATTTCCGGGAATTGCTTCATCCCCTCGACTGGTCTCAACCAACCCACCCGCGTCTTTGTGTATTGCTCGAGTCGGGGACGCAACTTGGTCTCGTGTAAATGGAAATCATCGACAGTTCCAATGCGGAGGACAGAAAACCCTGGATAGGCTGCACCTCTTCGGTACATCAGACTTCCACACCTCCCACAGAAGAAGTTGGTCATAGTCTGGCCCGACCCGATCGTATGCGACTGTGAAAATGTTTGCAAGTTTTCTTGACCTCGGATGTGTCGCAAGTAGCGGTCGTCGATGGTGAAATTGGACGCAAACATGCTTGCTGTTATCTTGCGGCAGTCTGAGCAATGGCAGATGAAGGTGGTGACGAGTCCGGGGGCTTGTGTTGGCTGCAGAAATGTCTTCAAAGGGTGGATGAGTGACTCCTAGTGGGACACTTACAAAGGCTAATTGGACGTCCCCACAGAAACATGTTGCGGTGGCCTCGTTGTCCGTTGACCAGCCATCGGATGCGCCACTAGCCAAGGGGAAGAACGACGCCATATGTAGATATCGATCAAGTCCTGCATTTCGGTCGGACCCGGAGTTGTGTCCGGGACTTCTATATGTGACTGCCTGTGACATCACTGCCTTGCCTTGTGTTTCCTCCCCTCATCTCTCCCTCTCTTTGTGGGTTGTGTCGCCACGACGCAATTTCTGAACGAGCGCTCTGGACAGGCTAGGCACAAGACAGTATCCGCTGGTCCGCCTCCGCTTTCTGTCATCTGCCATATCAGCGGCCCCACACCGTTTCACCGTCCAAAGCTCCTCGAACTGGGTTGACTCGGCCATGTCGTGTGGTCGTAAAACTCCGCACCCGGCCCTCTCTCATCGATGAGGGTACGAGCGGTGACCACATGCTGGCCCTCGTTGTCCTAGGCAGACCAGACCAGACCAGACTATGCACGCATCGCAGTCATTCGAGTCAGGAGAGACACTCAACTACATTGACAAACAATCAAATATGCACGTTTCAAGCTCAAGGCAGCAAGAGTCACAACGATTGCGTTCGGTTCGGTTGCCCGTGCGACTCCTTTTTTCATCTCCGCGAGATCAACAGTCTGTCTCATCGCCGATCTTGAATCCATCGAGAAGACCTGGACAGGCGCTTCAGCCGTCGGTTGGCCGTGTTCGGCTCCTCTCGTTTTGCCCGAGTAGGTGTACGGCGGTGGCTTTATCCTGTGCCATCGTCTCATCGACGACCAAGTCTATCTATTCACATTCAGAATCTCGGGCTCGTTTTCTGCGTCTCGCGCTTCGCGTTATTGCCATTATTGCTATCTGGAGTGGATATGAAAGCAACGAGTCGACAGGAGCAACAACTGGGTTCCGTCAAAGCTTTACTCCGTCCCCGGCCTGGTATGCTTTTATGCGTGCTGGGTACGAGCGGTGGTCCCGACTTGCTCTGATGCCGTCTCCAAGAATCAAAGAAAACAAAGAAACAAAGAAACCAAGTGACAAAGTAAATGCCTCATAGAGCCAAATCAGAGAACGGACTAGTACCCTTTGGGTGTGCGCTCGGGCTGCAAGGCACGCAATGGTCCGCCTGCGCGTTGTCTTTGCGCTCGGTTGATTCGGCCAGCGTCTTTAGATGCTTAGCTGCTTACTCGTTGGAGAACGTCTATCAAGCACTGGGACAGCGCCAGACTTGTGTCTCGGGCCGTCAAATCCGTTGCCGGCCCCTCTTGCGTCTGCGCAAGCAGGGGTACGAGCGGTGGCTCTGAGCATCTGTCTGTCGGTCTCGGTCAAGAGAAACAGAAACAGAAATGTCGCGAGACAGAAAGACATGCCATGATTGCCAATCAGTCGTCAAAGACAGAATAACCTAAACCGAACGTCCATTGTTCACGAGCCAGTTCCAATAACTGTAATGGGCACCCGCCCGACCGCGAGGACTAACCATCCGCGCGTGCATTGCCTCGTGGCTGGTCGCCACGGTCGGAGCCTAACCAGCTCTGTCACTTCTTGCGTTGCGGGTGGTTCCCGCGTTTACCCCCCACCCAGCGTCGGAACTTGGCCTTCGTGGTCGTTTCCCTGGACGCTGGTGTGACCGAATTTTTGGGCTTATTCATCCACTTCGCGTGGTATCGTGTCTGATTTGTGGCGTTGGCTTGCGTACGTGTTCCTGTTTTCGGTGTTTCTCTTTTGCTCATGAACTGGATGGTAGATACTCTGTGTTGAAAACGAGGTCGGATGGTAGCTGTTCGCATATTACATCCTAATAAACCGATCAATTCATACTTGCTTACCGACCGCTCATTTATGATGTTGCCGATGCTCACAAAGAAGTCGTGTTAGCTATAGAAAAGTCGAGCCCTCGAGTCGTATGACTCTATGAAGACGACCCATTCAACCTAAGGCCCATTGTAGATCCCCGACATGCACCCAGACCCTTCATACCGTGCCAAAACAGCGGAATCAACGGCGTGCCATCGAAAGAAAGGTAAAAAGAAGGAAAATATTGCAGGGTGCTGGGGGCAACCTTTCGCGTAGGTCTGCTGTTTGTTGCGTTTGGGCACTTATGCTTCGTGAACAGGGAATGTGACTCGCCACTACACTTCACACTCGACTTTCTGGAGAAGAAGGTACTTTACATCTCTATCATGATCTGAACACTCAACCGGTTGCAAGTCGTGGGCTTGCCAGTGACTCAATGTTTTATAATTTGCCGGGCGCCTCGGAAGACTCGGACGGAAGCTCAGCGACTGGCGACACTGGTAGGAAGAAGCGCAAGGCTCGAAAAATACCACTTCACCTCGGAGGAAGTCAAGCGGTTCAATGTGACTACTAGTAGCTCGCGGGCATTGACAAATGGGTGTCTTTTTTTCAGATAGATATTCTATATACACTCGTTGACCGACAAAGCTACAGTGGAAGGGGAGACGCAAGCGGACAAAGATGAAGAAGGCGGTACTACTTGAAACAATGGGTTGTCGTTGGTTTACATAGGCCACAAGGCATGCTGCAAACACGAATCATGTTCAAGCCTAATTAGATGAAGCTATACAGGCACACCAGTGTTTTATGGGTTGTTTAAAGTGTTCGAATCGGTTGAAGGGAAAAAACTAAGCCAGCGCCTTGATATGCCTGGGAGCCGATAATATTCCCCTGTCACAAACACCCCTTGCGATTCTTGTTGGGTCTGAGAGGATGCCATTGTCTTCAACTCCTCCGTCTACACGCCTGCGCTGATCATGACCGCGCATTCGCCGTTGCATCGTGGGGTCGAAATTTGCGCCTGGGAGCATACTCCATAGGGGGGACCATGCATCCACGTTGTCTAACGAACTGAGTATGTCGCGCATGGTTTTCGCATCTAGAATCAGGGGGGTGAGTGGCTGAGAAAAGTGGGAGAGAGAATTGAATGACCGAGAATACCAGTGGTCGGTGGGCTTCTGTAGTCTGCGGTGAACTCTTGGATTCGCGAAAGGCGTTCAGCGGAAGTGATGTCGGCGACGGCCATGGTGACATCAGTCAGGAACCCAAATAACCTGACTTCGAAAGTGTTTCCAGCTTCGCCCTGACCCTTGCCGTCCTCCTCAAAATTAACGATATGTGGTGTAACAAGGCGCGGGAAAACCGTCTTCATGACTGTGTGGACAATCTCGTGGGATAGGGTCACGAAAAAAAGAAACCGAAGGCCCGTATCGGAGTCGGTGCATGCCTTGGTAAACATTAGGGGTGGTGCCAAAGTCAGCGAAGGAGACTCACTGGGTTGCATATGGCGGAAACCAGGTCAACGTTGATCACGACCTCATTCTGGCTATGTGCCTGGCCCCATATGATCCCGCCATTGACATCGTCCGGAATAGCCTTGAATACGACTTTGAGTGGGGCTGTGAGCAGGTGTTGGCGGATCTCCTCTTCAGACACTTGGACTGTTTGGCCAAGATGACGCCTGGCTTGCGGGGTTCGGGCGATTTGGCGTGCTATGTCGCAAATTCTTTCGACCCCACGGCCAAAGCAGAGTTGCCGGAGGGCGGTGGTTGTGAGGGTGTGGATCGTTTCGTAGTGGGAGTCGTGCGTGGCATCGTGTTGATGGTTTGTGGCCGAGTCCTCGACCCACAACTGGAAGCTGGGATATGGGTTGTTGGGAGGGATGACTTCAGGGTTACTGGCGATGTAGTCCTGATAAGATGCCATGAAGGGCGGAGTCAAGCAAGATTGGTGCCCCTGTCTTACTGACTGCGTTTAGCATGACGCGGGCGGAAACAATTTCATACGAGCTCGAGCGAAGCCTTGAAGTCAAGTAAACATTCATTAATACTATCACAACTTTGACCGTGTCCCCGCATTTTTCCACACCGGAGCCCGTCTCTGGTGCAGGTTAGCGTTTGTTAAATCCACCTAGTCGCAATACTCACCTCGCTAAAAGCCCGCAATCCTTCCTGTCCACCATATAAGCCCAATTTGGTGCAACTACCAAGTACCCACCTTGACGTTGTCGCCCATCATCTGGCCCCGGTGTTCGGCGCTGCGGGAGTGCAGCAACACGGTGACCTCCGCCCCGTGGTTCTGTGCAAGCGTCAGGCCGACCTTGGTGCTCTGCACGGAATCGGGCGAGTTGCTCGTGATCTTCTCGGCCAGGGCAAGCGCGGTTTGAACGACTTCTGTGGGCGGCACTACGATATTAACGCTAGCGAAGGTGTTAGAGATAAGACTGTGACGAGGTAACTTACAAGCCGAATCGATTTCGCGCATCGTCAGCTTTGATTGGCTCCCCAAGGAGGAGCATTTCGGACGCGAGCTGTTGTTGTCCAACAAACAACTTGAGAGAGAAAGGCATGGACCAACCTGATGTCCAACTATTCTTGAGAGCCGCGGAATCGCTAGAAAGCGGTATTAAGACGGGTTGGATGGGCACCAGAAGCCTACTAACCGCCCTGAACGGCGACTACACCCCGCTTGACTTCGGGGAGAACGAAGGTTGCGTCCTGGCTTGCGACAACGAGGTCGCAGTTGACAACAAACTCCGTCCCCCCGCCATATGAGCTCCCGTTGACCGCCGCGATGAACGGCTTCCTGGAAACGCGGCGGGAAACAGAGCCAAAGCCGTGTACGGCTGACTGGATTGTGTCATAGTGCTGGCTTTCGCCCGCCTCCTCGTTTTGGTGCCAGCTGGCAGCATTTGCGTAAGCACTCGGACGGCAAGAATGAAAGAATACCCACGCTTTCAGGTCAGCGCCAGCACTGAAGGCGCGCCCAGCGCCAGTAAACACAGCGACCCTGCAAACAGCTGGTTCAAGTATGCATGAGTGGGGGTGGTAGTCTTTCACCATAACTCGGGCTCTTCTTCGAACCAGTTAAGCAGTAGACGCAGGTCGGCAGACATTTGAGGTGTAAACGCGTTGAGGGCTTTCGGGCGATTGAACGTGACAAGCAGGACATGCGGCTTCGGGAAGTCGACGATAATCTCTTGCGAGACTTTGGGTACTGGAGTGCTGAACATTGTGGGGTAGCTGATGATGGTCGAAGGCAAGAAGCCGAACAACCGGTGGCGGATCAGCTATTTTATACGGCTTAATCACCGCCCAACTCTTGAGAGGCTTTTTATTTGTTGGTATCCACAATATCTAGAGGAAAGCATTGCGAGAGCACAACTATTGCTACATTGTTTCGTGCTGGAATGATAATGACTAACTAACCACGTGACCGCATTTCTCACAAGAGGGTCTCTGGCGCCTGAACCTTAGGCATCAATACCCGCGCTCCGCCAACAGCAACCATGATGTTGATCCCGAGCTCGTATTGAATGTGATCTTCTACTCGCGAAATAGTGCCCTGGTCATCTAAGTAGGGCATCTGACGAATCTTGATTTCGTCCATCGCCTGCAACTCTTCATGTAGAGCGGTCAGAGCTTCGAAAGTCGGCTGGCTGTCGTTTGGATGTGAACCCCTCCACAGCCCACGCAATGTCAAAGTTCGGGGGCCCCAGCGACGGGATTCGGGGTTGTGAGAAGCCTTTTCGTCAATGTGCGGCAGTTGTGAGGGGGGGCACCATAATCAACGGATCGTAAATATACCTCCAGGGAGAGATGGGTCCTCGGAAGAGAAGTTCCAGAACGCCATGCATCGTAGGCTCCGGACATAATTCACGTGAGAGTCCTCGAATGGTCCGATTGGCCAAAACTTTTGTGGACAATGCTAGCAGAGGAGCAAAACCATCACCCAGCCACAAGGCAGGGTGGAGTTTAGATGGAAGGCTGAAGGAAGCATTTGCCACAGAATAAGCAGCTAAGTGTATCTAGCAGGGTGTCAATCATACCGTTGCGACTGAAACTAAAAAGTGAATACCTCTTGCAAGATGTCTTGACTTGCCACGCGGAGCTGTCCCTCCGAATCGTAAGACAGGAGACCGAGGTCCCGAAGAAGACCCACTCCAATGGCACGGCCACAGAGAGGTTGGTAGTGGGCAGCCTCGATTGTACCTTGCGCAAGCAGGTCGACGAGTGTGTTTTGCGTCACACGCTCGTCGTCTGCGTCAGCGTCAAGCGACGCCAATATTCCCGAGAGTCGGGGGAATGATGTCGTCAAGAGAGGAGATATTTCGTGCCCCGTCAAACGGGCCACTCGTAGGATGAGTTGTTGAGGGTGGAGGAGTGGGACTGATTCCGAATGAGGAGGGAAGTAGTACTGTCCGGCTGTATGTTCGAAGTCGGTAAAGGGTGGAGGGCTTGGAAGGAAGGTAGCACTGAAGTCACGCGCTTCATCTTCATTGAAACCGCACGAGTTGCAGAGTTCTGGCATTTCAACCAGAGGAAGACTTGAGAGAGATTTTGAAATTTGAGAATTCCAAGCGTCCAGCGAGAGCATGCCTGCGACAAGAAGCTTTGGAACGAAGTCGATGCCATGCAGCAGAGGCTCCCAGAACCAACGGTCCATCAGCTCCTCGATTGCATCTCGAAGCTGCGGTCGGTCTTCGTTGCCCTCGCCCTCAAACGGGAAAAGCTCGTACGAGCGAAGTGCTGCATCGTAATCGTCGACGCCGACAAAAAGGGTACGGCCGCTTTGTTTGACAACATCCTAGCAACAATTGAGGTTACATTGAACACAAAAAAGCGTCAGAATTCACCCAAAATTCCGCGAAAATAGCGAGCAAGTCGGGTTGTCCACGCATCATCTCGGTACTAATCACCTCTGGAACTTCAGACAAGCCGAGTTCTGTGGAGTAGTCGCGTACAAATGCGTACAGCTGAGAGGTAACGTGCGCTTTGATGTCCCACTCGACACCACTCAGGTCGTTTTCTATAATTGAGTCCGGGAAGCAAAACATTAGGCACAGATGTCGATCTCGAGAGGCAAAAGAGCCTTGTGCGTAGACATCAAGGCCCTCCCAAGTAAATTTTGAGACAACATCCCGAGCATCGTAATACTGGGCCAAAGTCGAGATGAAAGTGCTCTTTCCAAAGCGTGGCGGGCGAATCATCACCGCCGTGTATTTGGCTGGCAATTGAGCAATGCAGCCAGTTTTATCGACATAAGCTTCAGGTTTTCGAATCAACTGAGTGAAGAGGTCGTCCATGGCCGGCAGCTGAACCGAGTCAGAAACTGGGACACGTTGAATTAAATTGACACACACATTTAGCTCTGAAGAGATTTCGAAGGATGTGTCTGGGGAAAGCGAGAAGGAGGGTGATGTCGCTCGTGCATTGAGGCGCTTCGAACCAGGCAAGCTATCGTCTGTGTCTGTCTCGCTGCCGCTTTCTGACAATGTCCTCTTCTGTGCTCTGGAACGTGATGTGGAGGTTCGGAGGTGGGGGTGAGATAGGTCGTCATCGGCTTTGCCACGGCCTGCGAGCACGTCGCTGAAGTCGCTGAACGTCGGGGAGACAGACGATGGTAAGGGCATGGTGGCACAAACAGAAGAACGTGATCGTGACAACCACGGATGTCACAATCAAAATTCATTGTCGACCATAACTGGCATAAGCACGAAGCTGAACAATGTCGGTGACATATAATCGATTGATAGCCTTCAACTTCTCTCACCTTTCCTTGCGACCCCAATGTCCTCTGGACCGAACACCCTCAATTACGCTATCTACGACGCAGCACATTGGGATGCGCCTCGCCCTCGCCTGGTTTACACCACCGAACTTCCCACCAACTTGATGGGCGGAGCACTCGCATATCTTTTCCAACGTTTGATGAAAGATCATCGCGGTCAAAACTGTGCATGCTGTAAAGGTCGAACCATACTCTTTAAAACAGCTTGGCGGGTGAAATTACCTGTCGATAAACTCGAGTTCCATGCGCCATATCTACCATGGCCTTTGGAACACGATCCCTCAGCAGATATACGTCTGCTCGACCCTGCGGAAAATGTCTCTGCGACAGACTTCAGGTTGAGTGAACCTGGTGTTAACATACACATTCTATTCGAGACCACCTATGAGCCCCGTACGTAGACCTGATATATGTGTCGCTGAACTAAAGGCACTATCAGTGCCACCCCGAAATCTTCCTCAGAGTCATACTCTCAAACGCAGCCACGAAGACACAGAATCCAATGATCATGAGCCTCCCGATATTAATAGAGGGTCTAATGGGATCGCTGTTGTCGACTCAACCTTGAAATTATCTCCGAACAACAACGCTGAATCCAGTCATGAAGATGTCCCGATGGTCGGAGATAAATCGGATGCACAATCCAACAAGATTCGGAAAATTGAAGGAACCCCGCTCGTGGTACACGAGTTGGCGTCCCCGGCTGATAGTGTTGCGCTACCTCAGCCTGACACAATCTTCTTCTCACAACAATCTCCACAGTCCCATATACCATATGTCAACAAAGCTCGTTATCTGACCGCTCTCAACCGAGTACTTGCTTCCATTCACTGCGGGCTCATTATCTCGCCACCTAAAACGGGCAAGAGCAATGTCCTGGCAATGCTCAACGTCTGGTATGATCTCCATACGGACACTGAAGAGCTGGAGCGGCTGTTCTCTCCGCTCATACCCCAGTTGTCCACAGAAAAATTGACAGCAACGGCAAAAACATATCTCTGCTTGTCATTCGATTTCAACCGCATTCAGATATCGTCCGCTTCCGATGAGGAGACGATCTGCTCAGAACTAGATGGTTATTGGCATGATGTCATTATGAACTTCGCCAACAAGTATAGCTCTTCTTTACCTAACAATACCGTGAAGGGTATTAAGGAGCGGACGCCAGTACAAGCGGTCCAGTACTTGGTCAGTCATTCTCTTCACAGCTCATGCCTTTTTCTTGACAATGATGAGGTAGGCCGACCAACTGCACACTTCGGGAAAACGTCTCTTCGTATCGATCGACCATGCTGATGCACCACTTCTTTCTATCATCAATGCAATGGTGTCGCAGCCTGGGGCTGGTCAATTAGAAGCATCTCAAAGGGCTGAGGCTCATATCGCACACCTCGTACACGCACTGATTGGTCTCTGCGGAACTCGAGGGAAAATCCCGGGCTCCAAGATGTTGATTAATAGTGTCTTGCCCAAGTCTTCGCTCAAGGGATGGGACAATGCGACCAACGTCACCGCTTATATGCAACTCGCTGGCCTGTATGGCATCACAGAAGACGAGACAGAGAAAAATCTTCGCCCTCTTTCACACCAATCAGAGTGCAACACTGAATCCTTTCCATCCATCGCTGGGTCGTTCAAAATTACCACCCAGTTCAAGTTCGATGAAACCAACTGCCATAGCTCGCTTCGACATGGTGTTTCACTATCTGTCAAGCGTAGGAAACGTCCCCAGCGGTGCGATGGGTCCCGCATCTTCCCCTTTAATCAATTGGATTGTGCTTCACTGCGTGCCCTTACTTCAGGACTCCAACCTGCGGTATTCACGATATGTTCACCTGTCTCGTCGACAAATATCATCTTACACACGCTCAAAAAGCTGGCTCACGGATCTTTTCACCGATGACGGACTGATGTGGCGAATCTTACTGTCTCATGGATACCTTCGAGTAATTGACTACGGAGGGGTCCGCCCCGACTCGGACCCAGTCTGGAAACTCGCCATAAGTTCTCCTCTCTTCGCCATACAGGTAAGTTTTCAAATTATAACATCAATTCGTCAATCTCACAGCCGCTTCAGCTGTTTATCAACTGCCCTGTGGCATCTCTCCTACATCGCGACTCTCTCATTGATATGCAGCTTCGAGCACTGTTAGGAGGAGACACATTTCCGTTCACAGAGGCGTTGTCGACAGAGCTGTGCTTCCGCGCTTATCGAACCTTGTGGTCATTGTCCGAAGCCGCCTTCCATATGATGGTGGAGGACCATATTCTCTTCCGAGATCCCACCTACCGCAAGCACGTCTTCAGTGAGGTCCGGCAAGTCGCCGACTTGAATACAGCAGACAAAATATCCGTTTCTGGTCGGCATCTCGACAAGGATACAAAGCACAAAACTCACTTCAAGTTTCTTGACATCTTGCTGTGTGATTTGGGCCGCCTAAACCGCAATAGAGCCATGGTCGTCGAGTTGAAAAGCTTTTGCACGCAGGGCTTTATTATGGGTGATCTCAGGACGCCGTATGTCCCTGGAGAGTTTAACGCTAAATATTCAAGCGACGAGGAAATGAGCAAGGCTTGCATAGAAAAAGCCCAGCAACTTGCAACGCTGTCATACCACACACTTCTCCAGCAAAGCTATGCCCGCTACAACCAGGACAGTATGGGCTACGACTTCAATAATCTCGCTTACCTCGTCCGAGAAGCCGAAACTCAGCTCAGGACATATTGCACGCTGCTTGCCGCTGGTCAAGCAGGACCGTCTCGGGTCGGAGTGAGTGATAGAAGAGTGGTGGTAGGAGACCTCGACACTGCCGAAGAGGTGATTGGGATTACTTTGTGTGCAGTTGGTTCTCGCGTCATTTCAACCATTCTCAAGCCGATACCAACAAAGTTTAGTTACAAAGGGGTACCGCAATCTATCTTAAAAATGGGAATGTAACTGCAACGATTAGAGTTGTGCTATATGGATAAGCAATATGACGTAGAGCAAACTCACTACCGCGTGGACTTGCTGTAGTATAGGCACTGCGAATAGCATCGACAGAATCAACTCATCCACTCAGAGTCCGCGTGCAATGCGCACAGACAGTCGTGGCTTGTAATGACTCCAGGCTCGTCTCGGAGATCGTCCTCCACTTTCGAACGTGTTCCTCGCTCGTCCAAGAAGAGCATCTGGCAGAATTTCACCTCGTCCATCGCCCGCGGCAACTCTTCATGTAGCGCGGCCAGCTTCAAAAGTCGGATTAGCGTCGTCAGTGTCAAGGTTCGGGGGCCCTAGCGACGAGGTTCGGGGTTGTGAGAAGCCTTTTCGTCATTGACAATGTGCCGCACTTGTGAGGGGGGTGACCATAATCAATGGTTGCCAGTGTAAATATTCCTCCAGGGTGAGATGGGCGCTCGGAAGAGAAGCTCGAGAACACCAGCATTTCCGACGCGAACTGTTGTTGTTCAACAAAGAACTTGAGAGAGGCATTGACCAACCTGATGTCCCACTATTCTTGAGAGCCGCGGTACCGGTATCGCTAGAACGCGGTATTAAGACGAAGTGGGTGCGGACATCCGAGGTGTAAACGCGTTAAGGCTTTCGGGCGATTGAACGTGACAAGCAGGACATGCGGCTTCGGGAAGTCGACGATAATCTCTTGCGAGACTTTGGGTGCTGAGATGATGGCCAAAAGCAAGAAGCCCAAAAGCAAGAAGCCCAAAAGCAAGAAGCCGAACAACCGGTGGGTGGCGGATCAGCTATTTTTATACTGCTTAATCACGGCCAAACTCTTCAGAGGCTTTTCATTCGTTGGTATACAGAGTAGAAAGGATTGCGAGAGCACAACTATTGCTACATTGTTTCGTGCTGGAATGATAATGACTAACTAACCACGTGACCGCATTTTTCACAACGAGGGCGAGAACTAGTGCCCTCGGGCGACTGAATCTGAGGCATCAAGACGCGAGCTCCTCCAACAGCAACCAAGATGTGGATCCCGGGCTCGTCTCGAAGGTGCTCTTCCACTTGCGAAACAACGCCTTGCTCGTTTAGGTACGGCATCTGGCGGATTTTGACTTCATCCATCGTCTGTAGCTCTGTGTGGAGAATGGTCAGAGCTTCGAAACTTGGATTGGCGTCGTTTGCATGTGAACCCCTCCAAAGGCCACGCAGAGCCAGAGTGCGAAGCTTCCATTTGCGTGGTGGGCCATTTGGATCAACATCTTCGACGAAATACGGAAGCTGTTCCGGAGCCACCAGAATGAACGAATCAAAACTATCACGAGACGAGCAGACCGGACTGCGGAAAAGAAGTTCGAATACCCCATGCATTGTGGGTTCGAGGTTTGACTTTCGCGACAAAGCTCGACGGGTGCGATCGAGGAGAACATTGGTGCATAATGACAGCAAGGTCGGGAAGCCACCTTCAAGAGCCAGAGCAGGCAAGAGCTTATATCCCAACCGAAATTTGGCATCCGCCCAAGGGTAAACGGCCCAGTGCATCTGAGCAGGAATTTAGAAGATCTTGAGCCTGAGCCGAAAGATATGCAGGCTTACCTGATCGAGAATTCTCTTGTTGGCAATGCGAAGCTTTTTGTTGGCGTCATAAGATAAAATACCCATGTCCCGCAGAGTTTCGACTCCAAAGGCTTGGCCGTGACGGGGTTGATACTGGCCAGTCTCGATTGTGCCTTGCGTAATCATGTCAACCAGCACGTTGATAGTCACCCGCGCATCGTCTGCGTCCTCTTCAAGAGCTTGGAGCACCGCAGACAGTGAAGCAAACGGAAGGAGGGGAGGCTGGTCACGACCCATTGACTCGGCTACATGCAAGATGATTTCTTGTGGGTGAAGCAGCAACTCTGGACCGAAATAAGGAGGGAAGCAATATTGTCCCGCAAAATCCTGAAACTTGATGATGGGGGTTCGATCTTCAAAAAATTGGCGGCTGAAATCTTGTGTCTCATCTTCTGTGAATCCACAAGAAAGAGCGAGTTCGGGGAGCTCCTGGAGGTTGAATTTCGAAACGGAATCCGTGAGTTGGCGAGTGAATGAAGAGAGAGGGTGGGTTCCCGTAACGAGAAGCTTGGAAATGATATCCATACCATCCAGCAGCGGGCGCCAAAAAAGGCGGACCATGATTTCTTCGATAGCATCACGAAAGCCTGGACGGTCGACCTCATTATTGTGGGATTCGAAGGGGAAAAAGTCATGCGAGCGAATTGGGCCATCATAATCGTCCACCCCAACAAAGAGAGTATAACCGCTTTGTTTCACGATGTCCTGACGACATTGAGCGAGAGAAGAACCGAAGGGACTTGATCTCACCCAAAACTTGGCAAACGTTGCTCGAATATCTGGTTCCCCGTGCAAAGCGGCAGTCTCGATTGCATCAGAAATATTTGACAAGCCGAGCTCCGTCAAATACTTCCAAAGGAAAGCGTATAGTTGCGCACAAACATGGATCCGAATTTCCTCCTCCAGTTCGTGCAATTGACCCCGTAAAAGCGCGTTCTGGAAGCAGAAGTGCAGGCAAAGATGTCGGTCACGACTGGCGAAGGAGTTTTTCGAGGTCTTGTAGGCATCGAGCTGCTCCCAGCGGTCGTCTGTAACAACCCCTCGAACATCGTAATACTCCTCGAAAGTCGAAACTAAAGCAGTCTTCCCAAAGCGTGGCGGGCGGACCAACAAGGCGGAATATTTGGAGGGTAGTTGAGTGAGGCAAAAGGTTTTATCCACATAAGCTCTGTGTTGCTCAACGAGGTCATTGAAAACGTCGTCAAATCGCGGTAGCTGATCTGGGTGAGTGGCTTAGGGGACCCAAAGATATATAGCACCCACATCTAGTTCAGAAGATGTCTCGAGAGACGTATCGGGAGATGATGAGAGTGGAGGAGATATAGTTTGCAAGTTTGAACGCGTGCGCCCAAAATATTCGTCATGGGCCCTAGACTCTTCCGCGTCGCTGGTACCCGCTGACGAAAACTGTTGGGGAGTGTGTCGACGAGACTCCATCATGTGGCTTAACACGACTTTCTAGCGCAGTCGCTGAAGGTTGGGGAGACGGACAATGGCAAGGGCATGGAGGAAGCACAAACAAGAGGGGCTGTGATCGTGATTGCTGACTCAGCGCCAAAAGAACCAGCGAACATGCTGTACACTCGCAATGACAAGAAGTGTGTGATCATCGAGGAGACGACCACGGGTAGAGAAGTCATATAGGCGCTAACACGAGAACCTATCTCAACCGTTCTCAACTGGTCACACAGATGGCGGTCTCCCGACTATTATTTGGGACATGTAACCACAGCTTGGGAAGAGTTGGACATTGTGCGAGTGGTCATGTATTAGCATAGCTTTGAAACGAATCTAGAATGTAGTAGTTACAGATCACTTCGACCACAATGTTCACAGACGGTGGTGGTTGGTAATATTTGAGGCATTAAAACCCGCGCTCCACCAACAGCTACCAGAATGTTAACTCCAGGCTCGTCTCGGAGATGGTCCACCACTTTCGAAAGTGTTCCTTGCTCGTCCAAGTAGAGCATCTGGCGGATTTTGACCTCGTCCATCACCCGCAACTCTTCATGTAGAGCGGTCAGAGCTTTGAAAGTCGGATTGCCGTCATTCGGATTCAACCCCCTCCACAACCCCCGCAGTGTCAAAGTTCGGGGCCCCCAGCGACGGGGTTCAGGATTGTGAGAAGGTTTTTCGTCGATGTAAGGCAATTGTGAGGGGGGGCACCATAATCAATGGGTCATAAAAATCCTCCCACGAGATGAGCGCTCGGAGAAGGAGTTCGAGAACACCATGCATCGTAGGCTCCAGACAAGATCTCCGTGATAGTCCTCGGCTGGTCCGATCAACTAAAACTTGTGTGGACAGAGCGAGCAGGCGGGTGAATCCATCTTCCACCCATAACGCTGGGCGGAGTTTTGAGGAAAAGCTGAAGAAAGTATCCACCACAGAATCGACAGCCGAGTGTATCTAGGAGGTCGTCAGCTATACCGATGTGAACAAAACTAAAGGAGAATACCTCTTGCAAGATGTCTTTGCTTGCCACACGAAGCCGTCCCTCCGAATCGTAAGACAGGATGCCGAGGTCCCGGAGAAAATCTACTCCGATAGCACGGCCACAGAGTGGTCGGTAGTTGGATGGCTCGATGGTACCTTGCGTAAGCAAGTCAAGCAGTGTGTTACGCGTCACTCGCTCATCGTCTGTATCGTCCTCGAGAGACCTCAAGATCGCCGAAAGTGTGGGGAAAGGGTTTGTCAGACGATCAAACGGTGCCCACTCAGGTAGAGGAGCCACCCGCAGAATGATTTGCTGGGGGTGGAGGAGCGGCTGGGGATTGGGGGGAAAATGGTATCGTCCGATTTTGTCCCGAAAGTCGGCGGAAGATAAAGGGTTGGGAAGGAATGCAGCACTAAAACTGCGTGCTTCATCTTCGGTAAATCCGCAGCACGATGAGAGCTCAGGCATCTCGGCCAGAGCAAGACTTGATAGAGACTTGCTGATTTCTGGATTCCAAGTCGTAAAGGAAAGGGTGCCTGCGACAAGAAGCTTCGATATAAGGCCCCGGGCGATGTCATGTAGCAGAGGCGCCCAGAACAAACGGTCCAGTAACTCTTCAATTGCGTCTCTGAACCTCGGCCGATTCTCTACCTCCGCCTCTTCGTCACCATCAAACGGAGTGAGCTCATGCGAACGCAGTGGTGCATCATAATCGTCCACGGCAATGAAGAGAGTATGCCCACTCTGCTTCACAATTTCCTAACAACATTAAGTTGACGAACAAGCTGCAGCGAACAGACTTTACCCAAAATTCCGTGAACATAGTCAGAACATCATGTGTTCTGTGCAAAGCCCCAGTGCTGATCGCTTGAGGAACCTCTGACAGGCCGAGCTCTCCCAAGTAGTCAACGACAAAGGCATACAACTGGTGGGAAACGTGTGCCCTAATGTCCCACTCGACATTCTTCAGTTGACCTCGTATAATCGTGGTCGGGAAACGGAACACGAGACAAAGATGTTGGTCTCGAGAGGCGAAGGAGTCCTTTGCAGCTCGGTGGATGTCGAGTCGCTCCCAAGCACACTCTGGGACAAGATTGCGAATATCATAATACCCCGCCAAAGTCGACACAAAAGTGGTCTTGCCAAAACGGGGTGGCCGAATCATCAACGCGGTATATTTGGTTGGCAAGTGAGCAATGCAGCCAGTTTTATCGACATAGGCTCCAGGTTTTTCAATCAGGTCTTCGAAGTGGTCATCGAACCTCGGTGGCTGAGCTCGGTCAGAAGAGTGGGAAGTGGCAATATTGAAGACGCACCTTTATCTCGCAAGGGGATGTAGTGAGAGAGGTTGAAAGCTCAGGCGACCCAGTTCGCAAATGCAAACGTTTTCGACAAGGCGGTTCATCGCCAGCGTTGGACTCTAACTCTACGTCATCTATGTTGCTTTGTGACCGACGTCGCTTTAATGCTGGAGATTGAAGTCGAGGAAGGGTGGCGAGAGGTCCATTTGGTTGTGGGGGGAGAAGTGGGACGAGTGATGGTGATGAGAACATGATGGCTTGTTTGTTGTTGATGGCTTCCAAGTTCAATTTGCCACCTTCATCGACTCTCAAGCGCTCTTCGGCCGAGACAGAAATTCGCGACGCTCATGATGAAGCCAAAAACAAGAGGTCTACCTTTTGCAACACTTCATCTTCAATTATTGTGCGTCCTTCGAGATTCTCGGCCTTGCCACTGGCAAGCCATTGACTGAAACACTCTGCAGTCTCCAAGAGGGTTGGCAGCTAACGGCAAAATCGTAGGCCACTCAAAAAAATGTTGATAAGGTAGAGGTCGTGGGAACCCCGCACCTTTACTAAGCTGATGGGATCAGCGCTGATGCGCTGCTAATAGGCAGGGGGGTGACTAACTTGAGAAATTATAAACAGTGTGAAAATGAAGCTAAGAGTATTGTAGACAAATGTTAGGTTACAGATCATTAAAATATTAAGATTTTATTTCTTCTTAACCCTCAGATTTTGTCGCTGTGACATGCGTGACCTCAGCCAAAAGCGTGACAATCAGTATCATGTGATGCTGATCATCAATCAATAATTCCCTGATATGACAAGAGACCGGGTTAATTGTGCAGACAAGCCTATATCAGGGACAATTCAACCCCTATCTAGAGCCAATTTAAGTTCCAATCACTTTAGGTGCAAATGTAGATGTGTCACAGCTCATAACACCTTTGTGACTTCCACCATAGGCAGTGGTAAGTAGGCACAAAAAGAGGTTTTATAGCTCAATATCTTCATGATTTACTCTTCATATATCTAAACTGCTTTCTAAATGCACACAGTGCCTAAAATAAACATATTATAATTTTTTTCCCAAGTCACATCCCAGATTTTGTCGCTGATGCCATCATTTGATGCGATTAGTAAGGGTGCGGGGTTCCCACGACCTCTACCTTATTGGAGTAAAAGCTTACTGTAGCTGAGTGTGGGGGTGAAACATAACGCATAACACCCCCAGTGTTTCGTTTCAGTGCGTAACGCATAACGCACAGGGTGTTTCCGCTAAAATATGCTCAAAACCTAATTTTCATGGCCAAATTTTCCATAAGCTACAGGAAAGTGGTCAAAGCATTATCTGTGAGATGTATTGTCAAATTTTGGTATGAATTACTATACTTTAGGGCTGTTATATAGTATCAACGTGTACTAAAAATATCCCAGTGTTTCACCAATAAATGATATGTAACGCATTGACCACCCACTGTTTCCTGTTTCAGTCAATTACATAAGCATAACGGTGTCTGGGGTGTTTCACCCCCACACTCAGCTACAGTAAGCGACTTACAGCTGTTGGCAAAATCCTAGGCCACTCCAAATTTTCTACTAGTCTGATGTCACCCACTGGCACACTCTGAGGTGCTCGGAGGGTCGCTTAACTGGAGCAACAGTGGAGCATTGGCACTGCAAATTGCTTCATTTGGGTTGAAGTCTGTCCGACGCTCCAAGAGAGGAAAATTTAATGTGGCCTAGGATTTTGCCAACAGCTGGAAGACCTTTAAAGATATTATGCGTGCTCCGCATATTTATGTCGACAAAACCGCCCACATCCTCTCCCTCCCTCAAACTTACCGTGGCCTCTTCATCCGACCGCCAGGTTTCGGAAAGACATTGTTGCTCGCCACTTTGGCCGCATACTATGATGCTCGCCCAGAGTGTCAAGATAGTGCCTGGGGAAATCTCGCAGCTGCCAGAAACACGCCTGAAGCCTTCGCATCTCGGGACAGACATATGTGTCTGATATTCTCATTTGACCTACTATACCCTTGGGACTTGCAGATAGAAGCTACAATATGCGCACCGATTGAACTGGCGATTCTTCGATTCTTCAGAAAGTACAAGGTAGAGCTTGGATTGCCGCAAGACCTTTCGATCGCCGAGTTCTATCGGTTGTTCGAGCGCTCGAATATTGCTGGATTGTTTAGCGAACTATGCGTAGGCCATTCTAGGTTTTCTCTGGATAAACATGCTGAGCCCATTCCAGCAACTCGTCAAATCTAGCGGCTACAAGTTATTTGTTGGCGTCGATGGCTTCGATGCGCCTTTCCGTTGCGCAGCTCTTGGTTCATATAAAGGTGTACGCCGGCCTCCCAACGCAGAGCTCCGACGCAACATCGAGACGCTACTGAACACCGTATTTTGGTCCAATTTGCGTGGCGGGATGGAAATCATCACCAAGCTTCTTGTGACAGGTGTTATGAGCGACACCAAGACACTGGAGAATCTTGCCCCGTTCAACCTCGAGCAGCTGGACAGGCTCAAATTATCCTGTGGCTTCACAGAAGAGGAAGCGGCGACTCTCTGCAGGCGATTCCGCGTCACTGTTCCTTCTTTGTCAGTTTTACAGACTAGGATCGGTCGTCACTTATTTATGCCGAATCTCGATTTGCCGCCCCTTCTTGAACCTCAACGAGTCTTCGTCCTAATCAACGAATTGTTAGGAAACCAGCCCGCTTGGCGAGGCTTTGTACCTTCTGTCCTTTTACCACCCATACTGGAGGCTTTGGAGGTGGAAGCTGACGACAACCGCCTGACAATCAACGCTCTTATTGACCTTCTCGTCAACGGAAAAATCGATCCAAATATTTCCCCACCCTTGGATGGATCGGCGATTGGACCTCACGCGCTACATGACCTCGGAATCTTGACCTATGACGATCAAGGCTTTTTCCGGGTGGCAAATGCAGACATTCTGAAGCAGGTATTCACTTTATGATGACCATTGTGCATTAGTAACGGTGTTACAGATACACACGACCATACGGAAAACACTCGATGAGCGATACAAGGTCTACGACGGCTTTCCCCATGGCCTCGAACCCTTGCTGCCGTTCTTCTCCAAGGTCTTGCTGGACCAAACACGGCGAGGAATTCTGCGGCAATCCACGGTCGAGCCGACCATGCACGGGATAATGGAGCTTACACTGGAACAATTTTTCCGACTTATCATACCCACTTGTTCTCATTCCTCCAGAACAAATTCCGTGCGTTGAGGAGAAGAGTTGGATCAGTGAAAAGTATCGATGGGAACCCAGGACGCTGACGCTGCAAGGTCTGTGGGCTGCCGACTCGACATGCGCTCGTGTTTGATCGTCCGTCAGACTCTCTCGCAATACCCCCTTCCCACCACCCAAGCCGAGTTAGTCGAAATCGTCTCCAAATGCGAGGAGGCTCTCTATAATCGCGTTCGGGCAATCGGGGGGCTGTACACTGCCGTCAAAGACAACAAACCTGGCCAAATTTATGCGCTCGGAAGTCGTACTTGACGATGGCCGTGTTGCCTTCAAAATTGGCTACACCACCTGTGGAAAGAAGCGGCTGGGGGAGTGGGAGCGGTGCCGTCCGCGCCGCTGGGAGGCTGTTTGGGAGGTCCCCACGCCGAAGCGGTTCGGTACGCCACCAGGGTTCACCGCAGGGTCCGGCGCTGATGCGCGATTCAGAAAAAATTGCGCATTCTTGGTTTCGTCTGGCGTGGCTAGGCCGTGTGCCGTGTCGAAGCTGTCGCCAGAGGCATCGGGAGCTGTTTGGGCTTACGGGATGTGGGGGCCGAGCTGGTGTGTTGACGGGGATGAGCTTCATTCTGGAGGGTATGAATGTGCCTGTTCGGCGCGTATATGTATAAACCAAATGCAATTAAGTGCTTTTCGCGCGCTTTCGCGCGCTCTCGGGCGAAATAGTAATCTCGTCCTCCCACTTTGCCAATGAAAAATGGCTCATGCAACATCACTCCGATCCCTTCGACCACGCCACGCTCAGATACGCTCAGCATGGGTTCGGGAAATCTATGTTCTCGCCTTGCCCCATCCAGCAACGGACCGGCTGCTCTTCAAAATCGGACATTCGATAGATTGCTGGCAGCCTGGCGCCGCTTGCGCCAGCATAGATCGCGTTGCTTTGGACAAAGTTTCGTCCTTTTGCTGGCGTTTGCTGTACCTCACCGGATATATCTAGGTACCTTTCTATCTTGATGTTCGTCTAGCTGACCTGTTGATTAGAACGTGTATTCCACGACAACTTCGACTTTGCGTGCGATGCCTGGTTAGGCGTGTACTGCCCTTTTTGGGCCCATTACCACTTCGAATATTTCGACGCCGCACATTGCGGCAGCCTTCAGCAAATTATCACCACTCTTCAAACGGTCGTTTTGTATCATGGGCAGATAGTTAAAGGAATAGTGTAGTGGTTCTATACTTTGTTTCACAATTCTCTCTATTTCCTTGTGGGGCACTTGCTTTCGGCCTGTTAGGTGGTACCTAGGATTAGGTACTTAGTAGTAGAAAGTGAGTTGCAAGGAGCAACAAGGGTCTCGGCGAGCAATCATAAGGTAAATCCATTTTCTGTATCTGATCATGACGGAAAGCGGTTAGAACCAAGTATGATGATACCAAGTATGATGATAATATAACTGAGTCCCAAAAGACAATAGTGATCAGCATGGTCTGAAAAATGACAGACCCTCTCCATTTTCCCCTTTCACATGGGATTGGTGATCAGCACTGTTGGATGATGACGAGGATACGTACTGCTGAGGAGTGCAATCATCAATGTCTTCGGTCATTGGTCTCCTGTATACCGTCACCATTCCAGTCATTACATATCACCACATTTTCCCTTCATCATCATTTTTTTGGACATATCATCACTTATTTTCAGTTGTGTCCAGAACTAGTCTCGAAACCCGACGTTCCGGTTTTCGCCGATCCTGCACGTGAGTTTTGGAGGTTGATGTGCAGGAATGGCGACCGGAACGTCTGGGGCAGTTCGTATAGGGATTGACAGATCCTCAAGCTGATGGCAACTGTCAGCCAGCCAAAATTTATTCTTTCACCAAAATTGGGTCTTTTTTGAGTCCTCTTGCCATCCAACGACACCTCCGTTCGATCCAGAAAAAATTGGAGCGCAAAGCTCGTCTTTGAAACTCCTGGCTCTGCGCTTTTTTGGGCCCAAAAGTTGCATGGGGGCATGAGAAATCGCTTTGCCAAGGATCTGCTATTTCTGATACGAACTGCCCCAGACGTTCTAGAGAGAATCCCTGCATCAAAATCTCCAATCAGTCACGTGTGCCGGTCCGCAGGACTCTGCTCGCGCAGCGAGCGATTCTCGAAAGAACGTCTGGGTACGAGACTAGTCCAGAACGGACCGTCATAGATTTGCTTGTGGACTGAGTAGCACGTCAGTGGTCCACAGCACGTCTGATCACGTGCATTTCAAATGTTTTCATTGCGCGGTCGTCTCACTCAGCTTACACCACGAACTCACTCCGTTCGCCTTTTGTCGCGCTCTGCGCGGTCTATCCTCGATGATGACGACTCACCGGTTGACCTCTCGGAAGACAATGAAGCTGTCGACGGTATTCGCCAACGGAGTCTTGGACCACCAACGACTCCTACTCCTGCTGCTTGGCAACTGCATCGTAACACACTAAAGACCGCCTTCCCAGATGGCTGGAATCCGCCCCGAAAGCTATCACGGGAAGCAATGGATGGGTTGCGCCAACTGCATCGCATCAACCCCGAAACTTTCTCCACTCCTGTTCTTGCCGAGCGCTTCCGGATAAGCCCAGAGGCTGTGCGCCGCATTTTGAAGAGTCGATGGGAGCCGTCATCCGAAAGACGGATGAAATTGGTCAGACGAGAGGCAGACGCGAGGTTGGAGCGGACCTTGGGCTCGCGGGAAAGAGAACGGACAGAAACCGAGCTTGTTGTCAAGAGCAGACGAGATTTCAATGCTGGAAAGAATGCTAGCGAAGGCGGTGGTGGAAGTGTGAAAGGCGTTCATCCCCGCGACAAACTCAGCTTCGAGTAAGATCACATTGGTGGGTCTCTGTTTAACCTTGGTAAGTACTAATAACTATCTTCCAGTTCCTCGAATACGAAGCGTTCAGGCTACCTTGTCGGGTGTGTCAGAAACGCCACATTCTCCCGATTTTCGAGATGCTTCCCCCCACACACGGCGTCTTGGACGGAAATGAGAGGGGCAGGTCTTTACATGGCTTCAAGCTCTATACCTTAGCTCCCGCTTCGAGGCTGGTAGATAAAGTCACTTTACTGTAGCCAGTCGTGTGCATCGAGAATTCGACCCGTCACGCCAATTCTTCGCGTCACCCTTCTTTGGTCATGACCTCCACCAAGCTCAACGTCGATGGCATCCTATTATTTGAGCAGCCATTTGCAAGGGTAACTATAAACATTCTGTACTCATACGCAGCTCATAGCGAGTCAGGTTCCATTCGAGAATTACCGCAAGGTGTTTCGCAGCACCCAACGGAATGTCGAGCGGGACATGAAAGCCGTGCAAAACTCAGTACAAGATCTGACTAAACAGTCTTCAGAAGGGACTCTTGCCCCCGATGCAGCTGTCGAGTCCATTGACGCTATGATTGCCAACGTCGAGAACCTGAAGAAGAAGGTGTGATTGCTTTAACCTGCTCCATCCCAACTAACCCCACCACAGCTTGCGGAGCTGCATGATACCGCAGGAAAGCCAACGCAAGACGTGATTAGAGAGCGGCTCCAGCATCTTGCTGCCGTGGAAACACTTCCCAATGCAAACGATCCCGAATTTGGCCGGTGGGCAGATACACGGCTGGACCGGTGGCTTGTGGACTGGACTCTGAGGACGGGAAGAGAGAAGACTGCGAGAATGATTGCGAGAGAACGGCATATCGAGGTGTGTTTCTGTTTGTGGTGACATTCATGCGCTTGATATCGTTCAGACTCTGGTCGATATCGACTTGTTTGCAGACATTAAGCGCATCGAGGCAGCCCTTGAGAGTCACAGTTGCACAGAAGCGTTGGCCTGGTGCAGCGAAAACAAGGCGGCATTGCGCAAAATGAAGGTGTGGGATCGCATTACAAAGGTTGTTTGACACTCACCGTAGGCTTAGAGTACTCTGGAGTTCGACCTTCGCTTCCAGGAATATATTGAGCTCACAAGGAATTTCAAACATCCGGAGGCTATCGAATATTCACGCAAATATCTGATATCATGGCAAGAAACACACATGGACCAGATTAGACAGGCGATGGCGCTACTTGCGTTCCCACCAAAGACCAATACGAGTCGTTATAAGGTAATTGAGCTGCTTTCGTTCCATTTTTTACTGACTTCATATAGCGTTTGTACGACTCTTCGCGTTGGACCGCGTTAATCCAGTCGTTCCGCCGCGCCATTTATGCACTCAACACCCTTCCCACCCAACCTCTTTTGAATCTCAGTCTCTATGCGGGACTCGCCTCGCTCCGTCTTCCTGCCTGCCACAACCACATGACGAAAAATGTTGATTGTCCTGTTTGCGACGGAGAAGGCGTCAAAACTGTCCGCACCGGCTCTCTTGGTCTGGGAAAGCTGGCTCAAGAGGTGCCATTCAGCCACCATGCCAATTCAACCATCGTCTGCTTCATAACAGGCAAGATTATGGACGCAGATAACATGCCCTTGGCGTTTCCCGACACTGGGTTCGTATATTCCCGCGAGGTGTGTCTTGTCGCTCCATGCTGATTTTTAATGATGTTTTCTGCAAGGCAATGGAGGAGATGGCAGCCAAGAACCATGGCGTCGTAACCTGTCCTCGGAGTAAATCGAGGTGCAACTTTTCGGAGCTGAGAAGAGTCTACATCTCTTAATTGTATTTCTACTGGGTATATGTGTACAAAAATGTAAACCTAGGGCGCCTCCCGTCTCTGTCGCCTCCACGCAGCAATTTCTCGGACAGCTGTTGCAAGAAGTGGGATGACCGCACTGGCAAAGAGCGGCATATAAACCGCGAACTTGTGTTCTGTGGGGAAGTACAAGAGCGCCAGCATTCCCGGGTTGAAGAATGCTCTCGAAGCCAACGTCAAGGCATTCGCAGAGTGTTGCAAAGTTGCGTTGAGCGACTTGATTGGGGAGGCATATATCTGCCGTCGGATCAGATCGGATCGTGTCAAAGATAAGACAAGGACGACTTACCCGATCAAGTGCGTCCAGCGAATCCTGGACATCGCCTCGCACGTCCTGGCCAACAGGCATGTTTTCGATTTGATTGACGAGTTTGACAATGCTCTGCAGTGTTTCTGCGGCCTCGGCAGCGTTTTCGAACGCCCGGCGCCGGAGGAGCGCGTCGAGTTGCCAGCCTGTCAGAATGCCGGTGTGTGAGTTGTCGACTCCTGCTGGCAGGCGCGCGACACCCAGAAGGGCCAAAAGCTGCTTGCCAAATTTGGAAAATATGGTGTTGAGGGCGGTTGGGGGGAGTGGGCGCATGGGGGACTGGAGTGTGTCTTCTGCTGGTGGATTGTAAATGATAATTCCGCCCCATTGAGGCAAGAGGAAAGAGTTGGCAGAAGTTGGTTCTCCTGCAGAAGTTGTCAACTACTATGTTGTTGATATATAGGTCATGAGACAACCTTGCGAATTGAGGATGTACATTGGTCGACGAGTGGCTGAAGGTACAAATACGAGGAAGTGCAAAACAGGATCATTGGACACGCTTGATGCTTCGAAGATTGTCAGAGAATGAGGAATGACGGGACAGTAGAGTCACGCACACAGAGTCCATTCCGCAGAGTTGACAAACACAGTCAGATCCTCAGGCGTCAAGCCGACACCTTCAGAAAGAGTTCGAGGAGAAAATGCCAACGGTGCGTGGAACTGGACTTGGCTTTCCACGGTGAAATTGTGGAGGACAGACAACGCGTCGAAGATGGGCGAGAGATGGTCTGTTTTTGGTTTCTCAGACTATACGTTAGAGAATTGAACAGTACTATACGCACCAGAAATTGCCTTCGAAATATCCCAACCGTTGATCGTGTCTCCAGCTGCTGCATCCTCGTTCAGCAATGTGAATGCAAGACGATACCGGGGAGCATAGTGCGCAACACGGTGAGAGTTTAAGCGCGGAACCAGGAGACCAGTCAATGTGTCCGCGAGGGCAGGTACTTCGGGGAAATTAGGTCCAAGTCTTTACGTCTTTGATACCTCACCGGTCGTTTTTCTCAACGGAAATGTTAATCGCCGCTCGCTGGCAACAACTCTATTGTCGTCATGAACAATAGTGTATGATCCTGTGAACAGAGTCGGATTCAGCTCTTGTCAAAGTGTAGTGACGCACCATTCTCCGTCTTACTTTGCACAGTTACGTCCAACCCATTCCACACCAAGGGTGATTGCTCTCTGCGTTGATCTAGTTCTTGCTGGAGATGTTTAACAAGAGAGACGTCTTCTAAGGCGATTTCTATTGGCAAACGTAGTTGTTTTGCTGCTTGTGAATTAACCCGGGATGATGGGAGTGAAAGTCGCTCTATGCTTGTCGTTTTCCACCAGATTGGAAGCGCGGCAATGAGCACAACCCAGTAGGCCGCGATTATGAGTCTCCTGTTGGACTCTTTCTGGTAGAATAAAGAGGATGGGTCGCGCAGCGCCGTATTTGGTGGGTGGACGTGCGGAGGCATGGAATTATGATGATGGCAGTGACAGTGTGACGTTCGACTCTCTGTCTCTTCCTCTCTTCGTGCACTTGGTTTTTTAGACACCCCTACTGTGCTGAATTCACCCCACCCTCCGACCCAGCTTTTCGTCAATTCCGGAGCTCTCCGGTTGCTGAGTGTGCGAAAAACTCGGTAGCTAGTCCGCTTCGCATAAGTGATGTCCTCAGGTGGATATCCATTGGCATATAGCGCTGGAACTTCGACACAGAGTTATTACCAGCCCAGAAGAGCCTCGGCAGGTCATACACCTCTTTCATACGAGGTGCGTCACAACTTCACTTCACATCAGAACTAAACATTTATTTTATCTTTTTCTTGTTTCACAGAGACCTCTTCCTGCCCGCTCACCCCGCCGATACGGCTCATACGACGAGTTTCCTCCTCCACCCCGCTCCGCGCCAGTCCACCGTGACGGTTATTACCCTCGATATCGCGACTACAGCAGGTCACCCAGCCCCGAACGTCGCAATGAGTCTACAAGGAACTCGGAAGGTGCATCTTGGGACCGTTCTTCGAATAACTGGCAACCTTCCTCGAAAGCCACTTGGGACCGACGCTCATTGACATTGTCTCCAACTTCCTCTGTTGTGTCTCATCACCGCATCCGAAGTGATTCAGTTTCGCGGATATTCGAGCCATCGACCGCATGGAAGAAGAAGAGTAGCTCTAATGCAAACTCCAGGTGCGTATTTTACCATCCTGGGCTTTCCTTCTCTAGCTGATTGGATTTTTTTCGTCCTTGCTTTTATTTGTAGTCCGCGGATCCCTTTTGACAAACAGCCTGGCTCTCCTTCACTGCGGTCCCCTGTCGTGCCTTCTCAGGCGCCTTCACTCAGAAGAGGTTCTGGTGATTTCTTTCGGCCTGGGGCCACGGATCAACCCGTTCGTGGTTCCGGACCCGGTTATCGGCCAACACTGTCTCCGACATCACCACGGCAGAAGGCCAGCTACCATCGACCCAACAGCCAACGTTACTCACGATCACCTTCACGGTCACGTTCTCGTTCTCGGTCCCGCTCTCGGTCCCGCTCTCGTCCTCCGCGTCGTTCCAGATCACGCTCACGCTCACGCTCTTTCTCGCGCTCCCCATCCTACTCGCGTTCTCGGTCCCGTTCACACTCACCAGCAAGAAACTGGGGTCGGAGGCGAAGGTCAAGAAGTCGAACGTCAAGCCGGTCAAGGTCTCGTTCTGTCCGCAGAACAAGGCGAAGACGGTCAAGGTCAAGGTCAAGGTCACGGTCACGGTCGTCAATTGCGTCCACCCATGCCTCAGACAACAAATCACCTCCGCCTACTGTCGTTATTGGTATCCCCAAACCCGAACTGAAGTCTGTCTCCGTTGCCGCTGCTAAATCTGTCTCTACACCTGATGCATCTGATCGCGAAATGTCAGCCCCGATACCTGGGATTGCCGCTTCCCCTCTCAAATCAGAACAGCTCAAGCCCGACATTGAAGAGGGGGAGATTGTCAATGAAGCTCCGTCGCCTGAACCTATCGTGGTTGACCTTCCAACGCCGGACAAGGTAAATAGTTGCTTCGTTTGAGCATCGTGCTTTGTGTTTATATATTCAATCAGCCTGTTCGTCCAACGGAAGACATTCAACCCCTTGCATCAGAAACAGAGGCACAAACAACGATCGCTGTTCCAGCCACCTCTGATTTGTCAGCTGTTACTCGAGAAACGAAAGCAGCATCGCCAGCACCGCCTCCTCCGCCCAAACGCCTTCCTCTTCCTGTCCCAAAGCCCGTTTCTGTGGTGGCTAGCAAACCTCCCTTGTCACAACCTTCACGTGCTCCTTGGCCTCGTGTCGAATTTACAATGGAAGACATTCCGCCTTGGTCCAATGCTCGGTCTATTGCCGATGCACTTCGGACCGTCGTTATGACCCGTCTTCTCAAAGACCCGCAAACACGTGACGAGCGTGTCAATCCCATTCTTTTGCAGAATCTATCGCTTCCCCACGAAGAGGACGCGTACCCTGACGCCCTTCGATCTCAAGAGGAACTTGTCGATGTTATCAGTCTACAACGACTCTACCACAGTACTGACGCTCCGTTTATTGCTGCCAAGCCGTGGCTCATGAACCGTTTCGCCCGCCGTCAAGTGGCGTTGTCCACCAGACTGCGTGGATTACAAGAGGAGTACCAAACCTTGCATGCGGCATGGCGGAAACACTGTGATACTTTGGATGCGCAAGCCAAGCCTGCGGAGCCACCCGCAACGGAAGCGGCACCAGCACCAACTCGGACCACCCGCCGGTCTGCTGCTCTGGGTGATCTCGTCCGCTCTGACTTGGAGATGGAGCAAATCATTGCGAGTTTGGGGTACGACGAGGCTACTGATCCCAACCAACTCTCGACACGAAACCTGGCCATTATTCCTGACATGATACCTTTCACCGGCCAAACGCGATACACGTACGACGACACGAACTATCTCGTGGAGAACCCACACGAGTACTATGCGCCTTGTACGGGTATCCATGACTGGACGGAACAGGAGAAGGAGGCATTCCTTGATGCGTTCGCCAAGACGCCGAAACAGTTCGGCATTATAGCGGATCAGCTGCCAAATAAGACTGCGGCGCAATGTGTGGAGTATTACTATCTGCACAAGAAGAAGTTGATCGACTTCCGGCGGGTGGTCTCTCAGTTTGCGCCAAAGAGGGGAAGAAGGAGAGCGGGGAGGCAGAAGGGGAATGGGTTGTTGTCAGACATTCGCCAGCACGACGCGGAGATGCTGGGAGAGGACGACTCTTATGTTGGCAGACGCGGGAGACGTTCTGCGGCTGCCATCGAAGGCAGGAAACCATCCGCACGGAGGAGTGCGTATGGTGTGGATTATACTGAAACGGCCACTCCGACACCGGAGCCGGAGCCCCGACCGAAACGGAGGAGGGTTTCGGCCATCAATCGCAATAATGCGTATGTGCCAGACGACGACGACACGGTGTGTTTAGTTTGCCTTCTTTTTTCTAAGTAGCTGCTTATCTTGGCGATTAGGATAGTGAGCCGAAGAAGAAGAGGCGTGGGCGGAGACCGGGACCGAAAGCCTCTCTTGGGGACGACTCGCCGGTGCCGACACCTCCGTCTACGGACCACCAACCTACCACTAGTTTTGCGCAAGCAAGCTTGCAATGGTCGATCGAGGACAAAGGTGCTGCTTTTGGATGCCCTCGCCCGCTACGCTTCTGACAAGTTTTTCCTAGCACTGTTTTTGACATTAGTCAAGCAGCACGGTCCGAACTTTAAACGCATCGCAATAGCGATGCCGGACAAGACCACGACTCAAGTGTCGGATTACTACAACTCGCTCGATGTGGGCACGTTGTTGGCAGACGCTCTGAAGAAGGGTGTGGATGAGGGGAGACTACTTTCAGGGAGATCGACACCGGGGACGGAAGTGGTGGGTCCATGATCATAGGTTTTTATCAACGCTGAATGTCCACCAGTCCAAGGAGCCGACGCCAGTTCGCGAATTCAAGCCTGCGGTAAGTGGTCACTTTTTTTTTAAAAAAAAAAGGACCAACATGACTTAACTGCCTTCAAGGAATATCCTCAGCCAATATATGCTCCTGTTCCACCGCCAATGTGGTCACCGTACCCTCCGCCAGTGCCTCATCGGGGCATCCCTTTTGCATCGCCATACCCGTATTATATTCAGCCATTCCCGCCGTCCGCTTATCACCCACCCCCGCTTCCGCCCCCACCGCCCCAGCAGCAGGCTCAGGCGAGCAGCGGGCGCAAGTGACGGTATTATTAATCCTTAAATAAACATTATTCGGCATATTCCGCATCACACCCAAGCTGTTGTACCATTCTCGATCTCTCCCTCTTTCTCTGCACGCAAATAGCTTTCGAACTTACAGTAATTGATTGTATAGTTGGATTTATGGATTAAAAGGATTCTTGGGCAGCGGAAGCGAAGTTAAACATCCACTGGACCACTGCGACCACAGTGTTCGCATCTGTCGCTGTTCACCAGAGGCAACATGACGCGGGTTCCACCGACGGCAACGACAGCCTCGATGCCATCCTTGGCTTGCTTGAGATGGTCTTCAACGCGTGAAACGATGTTATGCTCGTCACGATACGACATGTCCCGAATTTCCGCATCTGACATGGTCTGCAACTGCTCCTGAAGCGCACTGAGGGCCTCAAATGACGGGTCACCGCCGTTTGGATGCAGTGCAGCCCACAGACCTCGCAGCGTCAGCGTCCTGGGTTCCCATCGATACTTTTCACTGATCCAACTCTTCTCCTCAACGCACGGAATTTGTTCTGGAGGAACGAGAACAAGTGGGTCGATGATAAGTTGGAAAAATTGTTCCAGTGTAAGCTCCATTATCCCGTGCATGGTCGGCTCGATCATTGATTGCCGCAGAATTCCTCGACGTGTTTGGTCCAGCAAGACCTTGGAGAAGAACGGCAGTAAGGGTTCGAGGCCATGGGGAAAGCCGTCGTAGACCTTGTAGCGCTCGTCGAGTGTTTTCCTTATGGTCGTGTGTATCTGCAACACCGTCACTAATAATTAGTGGTCATGATAAAGTGAATACATACCTGCTTCAGAATGTCTGCATTTGCCACTCGGAAAAAGCCTTGATTATCATAGGTCAAGATTCCGAGGTCATGTAGAGCGTGAGGTCCAATCGCTGATACGTCCACGGGTGCGGAAATATTTGGATCGATCCTTCCGTTGGCAAGAAGGTCAATAAGAGCGTTGATTGTCAGGCGGTTGTCGTCAGCTTCCACCTCCAAAGCTTCTAGTATGGGTGGTAAAAGAACAAAAGGTTCAAAGCCCAGCCAAGCGGGCCTATTTCCTAACAATTCGTTGATGAGGACAAAGACCCGCTGGGGATCAAGAAGGGGCGGCAAATGTAGATTCGGCATAAACAAATGACGACCAGTCTTAGCCTGTAAAACCGATGACGAAGGAACAGTAACGCGGAATCGCCTGCAAAGAGTTGCCGCTTCCTCTTCTGTGAAGCCACAGGATGATTTGAGGCCGTCCAACTGCTCGAGGTTGAACGGGGCAAGATTCTCCAGTGTCTTGGTGTCGCTCATAACACCGGTCACAAGAAGTTTGGTGATAACTTCCATGCCGCCACGCAGATTGGACCAAAGCACGGTGTTGAGCAGTGTCTCGATGTTGCGTCGGAGCTCTGCGTTGGGAGGGCGGTAGAAATCTCGATATCTACCGAGAGCCGCGTAACGAAACGGCTCATCGAACCCATCGACACCAACGAATAGCTTGTAGCCACTAGATCTGACGAGCTCCTAGAGTATACTCAGCAGAGTTATCCAGAGAAAGCCTGGAATAGCCTACCCATAGTTTGCTGAACATTCCAGCAATATTAGAGCGGTCGAAGGATCGGTTGAACTCGACCACCGAAATGTCTTGCCGCAATCCAAGCTCCGCCTTGTACTTGTAGAAAAAGTCAAGGATGTCATGTTCAATATGTGCGCGAATTGCTCGCTCTACGGGAGACCCCCAAGGAAGTATGTCGCCCAATGAGAATATCAGACATAGATGTCTGTCTCGAGCTGCGAAGGCTTCAGGCGCGTTTCTGGCAGCCGCGAGGTTTTCCCAGACACTATCTTCACACTCCGGGTAAAGGTCATAGTATGCAGCCAAAGTGGAGAGCAAAATCGTCTTTCCGAAACCTGGTGGTCGGACCAAGAGGCCGCGATAAGTTTGAGGGAGCAAAGGAATGTCGCCAGTTTTGTCGATATAGATATCAGGAACACCCACAATAGCTTCGAAGCTCTCCAAGTCGACTGAAAACTGGAGGGGATTTTAATCGACGGTAAGGCTAGGACAATATACGCACAAACACTGAAGATGGAATGTTGAAAGGGGTCGACCTCTTGTTTGCCAGTGTAGTTTCATCACAAGCGTCGCGGATTTCCGTTTCTACCCAAGAGCGCTTGAGGTTAGAAGCATCATTGGGCAGCTGTGTGGGGGCAGAAGTGAGTGGGGGTGGCAAATCGAACTTGGAAGCCATCAAACAACAAACAAGCCGTCATGTTCTCATCATCACCATCACTCGTCCCACCTCTCCCTCCACAACCAAATGGACCTCCCGCCACCCTTGCTCGACTTCAATCTCCAGCATTAAAGCGACGTCGGTCAGAAAGCGACATAGATGACGTAGAGTTAGAGTCCAACGCTGGCGATGAACCGCCTTGTCGAAAACGTTTGAATTTGCGAACTAGGTCGCCTCAGCTTTCAACCTCTCTCACGACATCCTCGAGGTGCGGCTTCAATATTGCCACTTCCCACTCTTCTGACCCAGCTCAGCCACCGAGGTTCGACGACCTCTTCGAAGACCTGGTTGAAAAACCGGGAGCCTATGTCGATAAAACTGGCCGCATTGCTCACTTGCCGACCCAATATACCGCGTTGATGATTCGGCCACCCCGTTTTGGCAAGACCACTTTTGTGTCGACTTTGGCGGGGTATTATGATACCCGCAATATTGTCCCAGAGTATGCTTGGGAACGACTCGACATCTACAAGGCTGCAAAGGACTCTTTCGCCTCTCGAGAACGGCATCTCTGTCTAATGTTTTGCTTCCCGGGCACGACTATACGAGGGGACTTCGGGGATGTAGAGGTGGACATAAGGGCGCACGTTTCCCGCCAACTATACGGCTTCTTCAAGAAGTACTTTACCGAACTCGGGCTATCAGAGGTTCCCCCGACGATCAGAGCTCGGGCTGTGAGCATAGAACCCGATGTTGTGGCCATGTTCGCGGAATTTTGGGTGAAGTCTGATCCTCGAAAGCTTCTTCACCAACTGACTATTACTAGAGCGTTGTGAAACAAAGTGGACATACTCTCTTTGTTTGCGTGGACGATTACGATGCACCAGTGCGTTCGCATGAGCTTTTCCCGTTTGATAGCGAGCAGGAGGAGGCGGAGGCGGATGATCGACCAGGCCTCAGAAACACGATTGAAGAGCTACTGGACCGGTTGTTCTGGGAGCCTCTGCTGCATGGCATCGCCCTCATATCGAAGCTTCTCGTCACAGGCAACCTTTCCCTCACGAGTTGGAATCCAGAAATCAGCAAGTCTTTATCAAGTCTTGCTCTGGCCGAGATGCCTGAGCTCTCATCGTGCTGCGGATTTACCGAAGATGAAGCACGCAGTTTTAGTGCTGCATTCCTTCCCAACCCTTTATCTTCCGCCGACTTTCGGGACAAAATCGGACAATACCATTTTCCCCCTAATCCCCAGCCGCTGCTCCACCCCCAGCAAATCATTCGGCGGGTGGCTCCTCTGCCTGAGTGGGAACTGTTTGATCGTCTGACAAACCCTTTCCCCACACTTTCGGCGATCTTGAGGTCTCTCGAGGACGATGCAGACGATGAGCGAGTGACGCGTAACACACTCCTCGACTTGCTCACGCAAGGTACCATCGAGCCATCCAACTACCGACCACTCTGTGGTCATGCCATAGGAGTAGATTTTCTCCGAGACCTCGGCATTCTGTCTTACGATTCGGAGGGACGGCTTCGTGTGGCAAGCAAAGACATCTTGCAAGAGGTATTCTCCTTTAGTTTTGTTCACATCGGTATAGCTGACGACCTCCTAGATACACTCGGCTGTCGATTCTGTGGTGGATACTTTCTTCAGCTTTTCCTCAAAACTCCGCCCAGCGTTGTGGGTGGAAGATGGATTCACCCGCCTGCTCGCTCTGTCCACACAAGTTTTAGTTGATCGGACCAGTCGAGGACTATCACGGAGATCTTGTCTGGAGCCTACGATGCATGGTGTCCTCGAACTTCTTCTCCGAGCGCCCATCTCATGGAAGGATTTTTATGACCCATTGATTATGGTGCCCCCCTCACAATTGCCTTACATCGACGAAAAGCCTTCTCACAATCCTGAACCCCGTCGCTGGGGCCCCCGAACTTTGACATTGCGTGGGTTGTGGAGGGGTTCAAACCCGAACAACGGCAATCCGACTTTTGAAGCGCTGGCCGCGCTACACGAAGAGTTGCGGGTGATAGACGAGGTCAAAATCCGCCGGATGCTCTACTTGGACGAGCAAGGAGCACTTTCGAAAGTGTCAGACCATCTCCGAGACGAGCCTGGAGTCAACATTCTGGCCGCTGTTGGTGGAGCGCGAGTGTTGATGCCTCAAATGGTGCCAACCACCACCGTCTGTGAACATTGCGGGCGGAGTGGATGATTTGACTCTGTCGATGCTACTCAGTCTCGTCTTTCACCATCGCGATGTACTACGGGGAGTCCACGCGGTAGTGTGTTTCCTCGACATTATAATGCTTATCCATATATAAAAGCACAATTGTGCTGAATTACAAGTTGTTTGTTGGGGTTGATGATTTCGATCCTAAGATAGAATTTGGGTGGAGCATTCGAACCTCACTCACCGAAACTCAATTGTGAAATCGAACACGCAAAATATACCATCCCTCACTCACGACAATTCCGCCGACGATACCCTCCACGCCTTTGACTCAAACCGGGAAGCCGCCACTGTGAATTGCATACTCGCCAGCGCTGTCTCCCAGCTGATAAAAGCGGGCAAATCGGCCCTCTGGTGGGTCTAATCCAGCAAATTTGTTGTCCATCGCCCAGGTCGAGCAGCCTCATCGTAACACCACCTTTCGCTTGCGTGCGACCCACGAGTCGTTGTCAGGGATGTCGAGCAGTGGAAGAGTTGGTCATTTTTCGCCAGCGCGATGTTAACGACTGCGGGCGTTGGAAAATCCAGGAGCCTTGGTCGGAGGGTATTTCCAAGCTCTCAAGCGGTGTCGGGCAGTCATAATCATCCATAGGTTTGTCTATCGACTACCGTGTTACCAAGCGTCTTCCTAACATTTTGAGACATTCCAGAAGCAGACACGCAAGACAGCCGCCGGCCCGCAGGCGGAAAGTATGTGCAACCGAAACAGTCTCAACTGGATTGCTTTTTAAGCAGTTCGACCCCACGCACATAATCACAGCAGATCGGCGCGCTCTTTCTGTCCCCCCCCATCACCAGTAATTCCCGTCTTGACGATGTTCGTTGTCCTCATCTACTAGCAGACCTGCCGATGATGAAGAAGTGACCACCAACAACGGCTTTGATGACAACGTCTCGGCATGAACTCGGGCTACCTCTGGCATCGACTACATCGTTCACCAGCAGAAGTACGATTCAACAATTGTTGTTCTTGTTTGTGTGCCTAATTGTCCATCAATTCTTAGCTCCCGGTTTCAAGTTTTCGCGAGAGGCGGCGATGAGTGGGCGACTCTTCCCGAATTTCCCAGTGTGGACACTACGGGCGGATATCCATGGACTCCAAGCTTTCGACAAACGGCAACTCAGCACAGGGGAGGGCAAGGGGCAGAGGGCGGCCTGGGTGGGGGCGTTACCGGGACTCGGCTTAAACGTCTGATGGTCTGATTGATCGCCTGATCTCGATCGCCGATACCGCACTAGCGCCCGGGTTAAGCACTTTGCGCGCCTTGTGTCATCAAGTGCTCCTCCATGGGTCTGCTCGTCGCAAAAATACTGGCGTTAATGTTACGGAAGATGTCGCTCCACTCTGGACTACTCTCAGCGTGGTATCGTATTCCAATTTTTCATGGTATTGTAACAACAAGTATTCAACTTCTTGGCCAATTGTTGGGAGACTGAGAGCGTTGAGAACCACTCTTGCCATTATGCAGTGAACATGCTGGACCTTTCTTTACACGCGGATACAGCCTGGTACAACAGAAAGGAATTGAGTTGGCTCCTCGGTCGCTTCAGATTATCACTGGGCTCTCAGGACTTGAGCAATGAGATTTGCGAGACCTTTGTGTGACCCGACGCGACTGTCACATCGTCACCGTTTCTTCAAACCACCACCATTCTCGCCCGACGCCACCCAATGCTGCCCCAAACCTCAACATCCTACGCACCCTCAACTTCCTTATCACACACTACTCTCACAACCACAGCCACAACCACAACCACATTACCCCAGTCCAACACCCATCGCATTCGGCGGCCAACAGACCAAGAACGTAAGTATTACCTGCGTCATCAAGAACGTGATGCCTTCTACGATATTGTTCCCGCGGATTCCTCGCCATTACTGGCTACAGGTGTTGGACGGGCGAGACAAGAACATGCTGGACAACTGGCAGATTGCTGGTGACACCGATGTCAACGTATTTCTCGCTCACATACAGGCCTCGCTCTACCTGGATAGCTCAGTTCGTCAACGTTTGGTGAGTGACCATCGCTACCCATCTATTAATATGAATATGTGTTGACTGTTTCCAACCCCAGACTGCTCGCCGCTCTCTGGTGTCGAATTCGACCTTCCATTCAATTCTGTCTCATCTTGGCGCCACGCAAGCTCCCTTCGCCAAGACGATAGCAGACGCCTTCGAAATCTACCTTCATATGTTGGCGGACTACGACTTCTCCCTCGCCAAAGCATGGATGGACGATATCTTCACTGACCTCATCCACATTGTGATGGCTCCTCGGTCTACTAATCAGTAAAACTACAGGTCGGTCTTAGGCATCTTTGAGATCTTGGGCAAGATCTCAAAGATGCCTAAGATGCCCAAGATGCCTAAGACCATGGTCTTGGGCTAAGCAGATTCATTTGTCTTGGGGATCTTTCCCAAGACGAAAATGGTCTTGCAAAGATCCTTTGCATCTTGACCAAGATCACCAAAGCTCAACCAAGATGTGCTCAAAGATGCTCTAAGACCAAATGTAGAGTAGTGAAAATCACATATATTAATATTGTGCTACATATAGTGTACACGGTACAATGAAAAGGCACTTATTACATGTCCCCCGGCAGCGGGTGGCGGGTGGCGGGTGGCGGGTAGCGGGTGGCGGGCGGCGGGCGGCGGGCGGCGGGTGCTGGAAGGCAGGTTAGTAACTGGATATGGCCGTGTGCGGAGTACTCGCCAGGGTTGGAGAGTGAGACGCTACAGGGAGATGGTGGGGGAAGGGAAGGAAGAATTGCAAAAAATCGGTATCATTTTTTGCGACGTGGCACTGATGTGATGTGACAGTGACAGATGCACGTGCGCCGGCTAGGGACTTAGCATATTTCAACGGTCCACCAATGTGCTGAACCCTCTCAGTACATGTCCCTCTATATAAGTGCACAACTTGTTGACAAGGTTCTAGGTTGCTTTCAGATGCCTTTAACAGCTTACAAGGCCAATATTTCTCAAGTGAATTTTCCTCTTGCCAAGACGCCAATCCAAAGATCAAAGATGGTGTGTCAAAGACCAAAGATCACCTTTTCCAAGCCCAAGACGCCGAAAGACGCCTTCCAAAGACCAAAGACCCACTTTCAAGACCAAAGATGTCTAAGACGGACATGTAGTTTTACTGATGTAAGTGTGTCATATTTCCTCTCCCCCCGCTTCCTCTAATCATCCTTCAAAAGATCAAGTCCAACGGTCAACTTGAAACGAAAAAGGCAACAACTAGGTGAAGATGAAGATGGCAATCGCAAGCCGAGCAAGAAATGTCCAAGGACAGCGAGACAAGTGACTCCAAACAACCAAGAACCTGCTTATTGGCGATATTCTCCCCCGCCTTCTCATCAGCCAACGCTACAACTCTCGGCCACAGACCTTGATGCCTTATCTCAGTTATCACTCGAAGATTTCCGGGTAAAACTCCAAGGGCTGTCGCTTTCCGAGTTGTTTGATGTCTCTTCCAACCCTCCACCTTCCTCAGCCATCAAGCGCTTACTTACAGAAACGTCAACTCGTTCTATGGATTGCGGGCAAGTGTTGTTGGCGCGTGACATCCTGGCTGTTCTTTCCCTTGCCTCATCCAAGTCACCCGTACCCAGCGGCGTCCCTGGCGGTGTGTATTTCGGCTTTCCCTACCCTGTAAATTTCATCACTTGTAGGTTATGCATGAGGCAACCTATGACAGCTACGACCGCATTTCGCATCTGGCTGACCTTCTCAAGATTCCCAAGTCGAGTCCCTCCCCCAAGTCCGACTTTTCCTCTCTGTACATGTTCATAGCAGAGGAGGAACGAGCTCTCCCAGTCCATGAGACTTGGTTATGGCGTCTCTTGCGACCAGCCAGGTTGATTGTCGCCGCGCATGTCAAGGACATCAAACCTAGGCCACTAGCAGTCAACAATGCTCCGGGGCGAACACGAGAAGTTTTGGAAGCAATTTTCAAGCTCGGGCAAGAGCAAGTACGTTCAATCCAAGTTGTTGAGATGGTGTTTTTCATTTTGCTTCAGCCATAGTCGGGCAGTCTGCTCAACTGGGACTGTCGTCCGGCCTGCGCAATGTCACGCAATGCCCCGCACCACTAGGATCGACCACAAGGACATCGTTCACAGGTCATGAGCGTCTATAGAGTCTGCGAATAATTTTTGGACTGACTATCACACAATCACACAACTTGAATCTGAGTCGACTGTTCTTTGCTTGTCATTCAAAGCGACGTGCCGATCCATTGACTTCCTGCCACGCTGTCCCTGGCCCCCTTCTGCGACTGAGTCCTCTTTCGCAAATGCTTCAGAGCATTTTTAGACTGAAGTGTCTGAGCAGTTTTGATATTTGCACTCATGCGTTTCTGGATGAGGAAAGTAATCCCCTGTGTCCGCCTCCCGGCGAAAGTGTGCTGCCAGTCATTCAAGTCAACGTAATTTCATGGGAGTGGAGATTAGATAGCAGTAGTTGATGTAATCAAGCAAGTACAAACAGGACTTCATGATCAAGAATGACTACTTACATACCATCCACTATCGGAAGCAAGTCTTCACTATTAACAATATATCGCTGGCCTACCTTCGGGCCATGAACTATTTCAACGTGATACTGCGGGTGCTTGAACTCGTCGTTCCAAACCTGTCAAATGCACTGAGAGAGTTGACAGACAAATTCCTAAGCGGCATACAGCATCCAAAGGCAAGAGATGTGCGATGGCCCAATCGCCTTCCTCGGTTAGCAGCTTAACAACGTCGTGCGAGCGCGGTCAACTTGAAAGCAATCAACGATCGCAATAGGGCTTACTTGGAACATCCGCCGCTCCACTGCGGCGAAGAGCAGGAGGGGCAGAAACCCGTCGCAAACTTGGTGTTTGTCCCGTGTGGTGATTTCATCAAGGTACTCGAGATATTGTTCCGTCTGGGAGGTGCGGTCGAGCCTCACAATGTACGCAGAACCATACTCATTGAACTGGGTTTTCGATTAGAACGCATCAATACGCGACTGGACGGACATTAGCGCTCCATTGCATTTGTTTGACAACAACTCCGTCCTGCCAGCTGCTCCAATACCTTTTCCCCTTGGTGATGTCACGGTGGTATCAGCGGACGCAAACGCGGGTCCCTAGCTGCATGATGACGAGGTGAGGAGGCCTCGCAGTCGCAAACAGAAAACTCACTGCAAATTCACCCTGGGCTGGAATGTTTGTTTGCACGAAAGGCGGAGGAAGGTCTAGGGTGGGGAATAGCGAGTCTGGAGTGAGAAGAGATGGCGGCAAGAATGATCGACTTTCTGCAGGCAGACCGGATTTCAATGCAGGTTCGGTCATGGCATTGCTCCCATCGCCAGAAGTCGAATACGTGCCCCTCGAGTAAGGTGTGGGCTGTCTCCCCTCGGCCGTTATTTTAGCATGAGAGCGGCGACGCTGAGACTCAGCAATGGGTACGGGCATAACAAAACGGAAAACAACGATAACAAGGCACGTTGTGGGTGTGGAGGAGTCAGATCCCAGTCTGGCAGGCTGCTGTCCATTGTGCCTTTTGTACTTGTCGGTTTTTCTGAGTCACTGCCAACACACACAGCTGATGGGCAAGGCTCCAATACATATGGGTATATTCGTGTCGCACCAGCGAACACAGTCAGATCTGCGGGACAGCTGCAATCAACTTGATTCTATGCGCGGCAGAATGCAAAACTCACAAACACTTCGCTCCCATGGAACAAGGTTTTAAACGCAGCCGCTTGTCAGGGAGTGACTTTGGGAAAAGTCGGCAATGATGGGACCCACAGGCAACCACTAACCTTGGTGTCTGTTGCATGGCAAAAAGAAGCGTGGAACAGCATCCATTAGGCGCCAGTCGCAAGCCAATGTTCGAGAACAATCAGGCCCGTGGCCTAAAAAGGTGACTTGTACTGGTCCAAGTTTGGTAATTTCAGTTTGGTTTCGTTGATAGAAGGCTTCTCCCATCAGCTGCCCTCCCACACTGAGTGTGGCGTATAGGATGCGTCAAGAGCTCATGTTTCCGGAATCAGCTAGATCGACTGTTCACGAAGAGTTGGTTGAGGACAACAAGGCAATTCAATATCACGTGCTGATCACGCCCTGACTCCCGACCACCTGCAGGCTCATGCGTGTCTGTTGTCGGCGTTATGCTGAGCGTAAATGTCTGCCATGCGCGATTACCACCTATTGGAGCGCTCGACCCATGAGCTGTACTGGTTCGACCGTCGCGACTTCTTAGAGACTGCAGGATACCGCCTCAGACCCAAATTTCATCCGGATTTTATACCAGATGTTGGTCGTCGCGCGTTGGAAGACTATGAAGCCACTCATTTTGTGCGTCTTTCAATTGCTCCATTGACTTTCTCTCCATTGACACCACCATAGAAGCGGACCTTAATGGATGCACACCGGATGTCAGACAACAAACCTGTCATGCTTAAAACCGTGCTCACCAGTGTACACCCTCACGAAGTCGAGCTTGCTGGCCTGTTTTCCTCTCCTGAACTTGCCGGAAACTCCCGAAACCATTGCATACCTATCTTGGAGGTTCTTCAAGACCCAGAGGACTCGGACAAACAAATCATCGTTATGCCACGACTCATTGACTTTTGCCAAACCAAATTCGACACTGTGGGGGAGGTGATTCATTGCTTTCGACAAATATTCGAAGTCAGTGACGCTTCGCATCTTAGTGCTTCAACTAACTTATCCTAGGCCTTTCAATTTATGCACGAAAACTTTGTCGCTCATCGGTATATGCGTGAACACTCTCCGTTGACATTATCTAATTGTGTGCAGGGACTGCAGCCGACTCAACATCGTTCAAGACCCTTCCCGTCTCTTTCCTTCTGGGTATCACCCTGTGCATACCTGGCAGTCTGCCACGTCCGATTGGCCTGCTCGTTATATCACCCGCACGGAATGCTGGCCACGTTATTTCGTGATCGACTTCGGTCTCTCGAGACAATATGATCCCTCGGACGGGCCGCCGCTCGAATATGTCATCATGGGAGGCGATAGGTCGCCTCCGGAATTCAAAACCCACCAGCTGTGCAATCCATTTCCGACCGACATCTATTGCTTGGGCAACCTTTTGAGGAAATACTTCCTCTTCTCTCAGAAAGACAAACTCCAAGTGTGTGTCTCGCTTTCCACAAGTTTTTAACTTAGATTCTCTAGGGTATAATCCGTCCATCTCTTAGTTTCCTGGAACCCCTGGTCACTGAAATGACGTTACTGGATCCCTCGATGCGACCCACCATTGGGGAGGTTTGCGAGCGCTTCGACAAACTGTGTAGTGGCTTGACCTGGTGGCAATTACGTCAGCCAGGCCAACGACATTCATTCCGTTTCTACCAACGCGTACGCCAGGTCTGGCGGACAATGTTCTTTGTCCGTCCGATTCCGCGGTACACTCCTCGAGCGGATCGACCACGATTGAGCAAGGAGTTGCGTGATTTTTACACGCAGATACCGCTGGACAAGGGTGATTTTCTCTGGCCAGAATTTGAAAAGCCTTGTGCTTCCTAGGTCAGAAACGGTCATCCTCATGTTGATCATATACAGCTATTGTACCATTTACCACCATAATGTCTACAGTAACCATATTCAAGTTTAGAAAGACTACAATTATTATCACGACGACAATTATACTGTCCTAAGACTCCGCATAACAAAGGACACCTAACGTTCGCTCCTGAGGACTGTTGAATTAGTACGCAATGCAGACGTCTCCACTGAAGCTGCTCTCGTTACAAAAAAGTACAGAAACCTACAAAAACTGATCAGTCTGGTCACATCACCACAGAGTCAACAGAGCAGTCGCAAGCTATGAGGGCCGTCGTGGTCGCTTTCACTTGGGAGCGCTGGAAACCACCGACGGGAGGCTTTAAGCCATCAGCGCTTCAAGCGCTCTCTCAACGCCACACTATACAGTCCTGACTTGTCTTCCGCGGATCGAGAATCAGCGCTACAACCTCCAGCTTGAAGATGGATGACAATTAAACGCTCACCGCCCATACTTATATGATTGCGTGACTGCGCAAAGTGCGAAATTCTCACCTTCTCTAATCCTCCTGCAACGACATGCTTGGCTCCGCGGGTATTTGAATCTCTCCTTCGCTCATCACTTGTTGGTTGACCCTATACGTAGTCCAGGCTATTCTGTGTGCCATCCTTTGCTTCACGCTTCTACCAAGCTACGCAGCGGCAGACTCGGGCCAGTTGCCCAAATGTTTGGCTGATATTCGGAGCGGCAAATTCGGTGACGATGGTATTACTGACAACAATGGCAATCCGACAACAAACTTTTCTAATGCAACTGCTATCACATACGAAAAATGTCTTGAAGCTTGCGGGGCGGGTAATTCGCTCTGTTAACGTTGATTTGCTATGGGACTCTGATAATCTTTAGGTGGCCACATCGTTGCCGAGTGGTCATCTTTCTCGCAACAACTTTCTGCGTGGTTGCTGCCATGGCTTGCTTTACTCTCACAATTTCCTTTCGTGAGTACGCTACACTTGGTCCGCCCTGAATGGTATATGATGTTGTCTTCTAGGGTTGCCGACGGAGATGGGACAACCTGATGTCCATTTGTCTGACGTTTGGCAGTCCATGCCTCGCAGCATATTCTCTGATATTGACCGTGCTAAACATTCGATGGGTTGTCCGACGATTCAGCCATATCAGCTACCCCAACAAAGATTGGGCAGCCGCAGTCCTCTTAAGCCTGCAACACATGCCGCTCCATGTACGGCGTACTGTGACCGTCGACAAGGGCGATTATCCCTTGTTAGCTTCTCTCATCGTTTTGCCGGAGAACAATCGGTGGTGGGAGAGACTCGAGAAAAACCTCAACTATGCAGACCTCAATACCTGGTCAATCGCCAGTATGCTCCAACTATTCACCCGTTTTTACTTGTCTCAAAAAGTTCTCAAGGTGTGAGCTCCATTGCCTGGGGCATCATCACCTATGCTCTGACCATGGTCGATGCGTTCACGAGCATATCAAGTGACGTCAATAACAATGGACTGGGGACATCTGGTGTCGGGAGTCTCTGGCTATGGATGATTCCGGTTATCGCAGGTTGGCATTTTGTCATGTCATTTTACTGGCCTTATTCTCTATGAGCAGGTTATCTCCAATTGTCTCCTCGGTGCGATTTGAAGCGTGTAGAAGAAGTCCTGAACGATGCCAACCAGCTTTGCGTAGTGGCAGGGCCGAATGGTGTCACCCATGCTAGTATTGCTATCGGAGCATCCGCGATAACTGTTCAAGAATGTACCGAACACAGAACCCTTCATGCAGATCACCTGGCGACTGCTCCCGTCTACAACTACGTGCGCATCTTCTCCTTCGTGAAGGTGGTAGAAGCGATTGCATGCGCCTTTGAAGCTGCTTCCGAGCAAGTCCAGAAGCAAAGAACTGTCTCAGGAATCGATTGGGTGCCATTGACAGGCGGCGTCCACGAAGGGAATCGACGTGGAACAAGCGAGCAGGTGGAGCAGTATTGTTCTCCGCGATCAGCCTTGAAGCGACGGTCGCATTGGGAATCTGGGTCCGGGGTAATAAGCCGATTCTTTATCGCAGCAGTAGCTGGACTCACACTCCAATGGAGTACAATCGGCGGCTCGATCATAATCGGTTTTTACACACCCACCGTCGGTCTTGGTTGCCGCTCAGCAGCATACCTTCTTTACGCCGTCGTAGCAACTCTTGTTTGGGTTCTTCTCGTCACAAGCGGTTTTCTCGCCCACTTCGCCGTCCCACATGCATTTAGACGGCAACGCACCAGCCACAAAGCTGCAGAACGCATTTCCATCTTCCTTCGCCGAGCTGCCAAGGTCCTCGCGACCCTCAACACGCTATGGATTGTCTTGGTGCTCCTCCTCCAGTTCAGCGGCTTCCTCAACCGGTGCTATTGCAATTCGGACGTAATTGGGTTAGGCAAGCGCGCGTACAACGTTATGCGTCTGCTTCCCTCTGACATTCCAGGGATGAAGGCCGCTTGGATGGCCGGAATCCTGTTGGCAGTCATTAGTACAGTTGCCTGGTGGATCTTTCTCGTTTTGATCTTCACCCCACCCCCGCGTCCACATCGCACAATGACGGAACAACAATCGATTGATGCCGGCAGATTCCGGATCAAAACAGAGATTTGCACTTAGATATCTTAACCAAGAGTTGGACGCAGTGTAATGTAATTCTATCCGACTTCGTACTTGGGCAGCGTTGCAACACCATTATGAACCCTCGACGGTAAGTCGCGATAATCCAGTCCGTGAATGGTTCGAACATTGACGCCCATGCTTGCCGCTTTGGCAGGGAGGAGGAATCGCTCCCAGACAGGTACAGCACAAGTCGAGCAGAATGCATGAACTACCTGTTTGCGGCCAAAGGTATACTCGGCGAGGGAGACACCGGAAGCGATCGCAAATGCGGAGACTGGCGGGTAGGTCCACAGGACACCGTTCTTCATTCAGTTCATCTTCCGGGTGTGACGCTTAATGAAGAAGCAACGCACCCTGGAGCAGATACTGCAGTTGCAGGATTTTGTCTTGTCGATCGGCGGGATCCGGAGAGTGTAAGAAATGCCTCCACAGCAACAACTTCCGCGGTAGTGATCGGAAGTCTCCAAGGTCGCGAGAGCATCCGGTGGGGCGTCTTTGCGGCACGAGGAGGAGATGACGGGCCACGAGCTGTCGAAATCGGCCAATGCTCGAACCTACTAATAGTTAACTTGGCTCTGGACCGTGACGGAAGAAGCGAGTCGCGGACATTCACAAACAGCACCCGCGGGGGCTCTTCGGCATCACAGCAGAGCAGAGAAGTCCCGCACGTAGAGCAGAACTGTGGACTGTTGGCGGAGATGCATAGACAGCAATCAAGTCATCGCTGACCTTATGCAGCGTCGTTCCATTCCGATAGCCTTTCAACAAGCTCACGTCGCCCCTGAGCACCTGCAGTGCAAAAGGCTGGGCCCAGATACACGCATTCTTGTTTTAATTACCGCTGTTGTTCTCGAAGGGAAGGGAACGCATACGAGCGAGCACAACGGGCAGCCGCAAGAGAACAGCGCATTAGGGACGCCGGGACTCGACTGAAGCTGAACAGAGAATTTGAATGCAGCACAGTGGCAGTTGCCAGGAAGTGAGGGCGAGTCATTTTCAGAGGTTGTCGTCATGGTTCGCGACAAGACACTTGTGGCGTTCCCGAATCGGGACACGAAAATGGTTGTTTTGATTCTCGGGGATGAAAACACTTTCGATTGCTCTACGCATGCATAACAAGACTGAGTACAATCAACGTCTAATCATGAGTAAGAAAGAGCATTGTGCAGAGAACACACGTACCCATCTAAAAAACAAACAAATACCAAACCAAACCAACGCTCGGAAAGCGCGATATAAAGCCCAAAAATTGGGAAAATCAGACCCAGATAAGTCTGAGTTGAATGGAACGGAAGGCTCCGGAGTCTTTGCCGCTCGCTGCGACTGGGAACGGACGATGGGGTCGAAGCTTACTTGGGTACCAGCTATTCCTCGTACGCCGAACGATTCTCGGGAAGGCGCTTGTACCATGCATATTAGTTCAACAGCATATACATGATGGTCCATGGTGACCCGACCAGTCCAAGTAAGCCGTGAGGCATACTTAAAGACTATTTTGGACCTTTTTGACCAACATACATTGCACCGATGAACACATGGAGACAAGAAAACCACCCGGAAGCGCTACACAAGACCGTGGAACGGTAAAGAGAGTTGTTAGCCCCCTCCGGTCAGAAAGACACCTTGGGCGCCGATAGAAAAGACCGGAAAATAAGCAAAAGACCGCTATCGCCAGCCATCCCAACAAAGGGGTGACTCTGCAGACTTGGATTCGCTCGACGAAGTTGAACTAGAAGTTCTGTGTGGAACGAGCATCGCAGCTTCAGTCTGGTGGCTTGTCAACACGTGACTTGTCGCCTCAACTTACGAACCACATCGCATGGACACTGAGCTCGACGCCAATCCGCAACTTATTCGCGTCTCCTTCATGCTTTGCATCGTGCCAGATGCCATATTCCTGTCCTCTAACCTCGGCAACCAACCTGCTATTTCGCTAGCACTTTTGACCTTTCTTCGTTTTTCGGCTGAAGCCTCTTTTTTCATTGATAAACCCGGCTTGCTTTCAACGCTTCCTCGCAATTCACCGCCCATTATGCATGCATTACCAGACTTTCGAATCGGATCTTCATCGCACACCGAAGCTATTACACTCGACCATGCGCTGCGTTTAACACCTATTCCAAGTCTTTTGTTGACTGATAAAACTCTGGGATTCACGACATCGTGTGCCATGACATGCTGCTGTCTTACTTTTAGATGTCGTTAGTTGAAGAGAATTCATGCGTTCACGCTACCGGCAGATTCTCGTCGGCTCAAACCCTTCAAGTTCACTCTCTTTTAACTTCGTCTTCGATTGTTCCCTGCCGGTGACTTGATTCCAGACGGCCAGTGCGAATCCGCTGACATGTTTCTCGATGCTCATCCAAAGATCGTCACAGTGTGCTGGTCGTCATATTGCGCAGTGCGATTGATAAACTAAGCTTGGATTTTATCCAGCGGAGCCGCCCATGAAGCGTTGGGAGTTCATTCAATGTACTGGAGCTTTGCCTTTCATTGCGTGCGATTAAATCAGCGCTCAATTACCCATCTACGCCAATGGGATGCGGTTCTAGCAGTAAAACCATGAACACTGTCCGTATTTTAGACTGTAAATCGACTGACATCATGGACGCCTATCGGGTGTCTTCGGATATTGACAATGCCAATGATTCAGACTGCGGGCCGAAGAGCGAGACGAAAATCTCTGCGGCATGAGCGTGATAACCACCAACCCCGACCCGACGACTATCATCGCGCTAGGTGGATTGCCTTTGCTTCCTGGCATAAAGACCAGCCCAACGGCCCCCATTTCCCCCAATTTTCTCAACACTCTCTCTTCGAATCAATGGGCCACCGGAACAGCTTGGCAAACAGTCACACCCCCAAACCAAAACCCAAACTCTCAAGTTCTCGCTCCCGCACGATAGGCTATGCGGAGCTCCCTGCCTGGGCTCAGGACAACGAGTTCATACTGGGCGGATATAGGCGCATCTCGTACAATTGGAAGGCGTGCTTTGACTCGCTGTTTGGATGTGAGCCCCCAATCTTTGTCGGTTTTTCAATGGCTGATTTCTTTAGACTTGCACAACGAGACCGGTCAGCGCCGAGCCAACTCCATTTTTACTCCTGCTGAGCGACGATAGTAAACATCCACAGTCACCTCGCTGGCGGACTGCTTTTTGCCTACTTTTTCGCGACATATAAAGAGACATGGCTGCAACAATATCCGACTACGTGGGCCGACACACTCGCTCTAGGCATCTTCCTCGCATGCGCCATATTCTGTCTGCTTTCAAGTGCATTCTTCCATACCTCGGCTTGTCATTCTCAAAAGGTTAGATCGCTCACAGGAAAGCCGGCCATGTTTGACAAAGAATAGGTTATGGGCCAATGTCATGCACTCGACTATTCTGGCATCCTCATCCTCATCATGGGTACTGTTTCATGTCAATAACAAGCTTGGTTTCTCACCATGTCCAGGCTCGCAATGTTCTGCCATCCGATATGAATTCTTTTGCAACCCGTACCAGCAGGCATTTTACTCCATCTTGCTCATCTCCATCGGCTGCTGTGTGTGGTTTTCTACAGATTTGTTGCTGTGCCTCAACGTTTGCTAGCCGCGGCCTATGTTCTGCTCAACCCGACATATGCTACGCCCGCTTATCGTAGCACACGTGCAACCCTCTTTATTGCCCTCGGGCTAGGCGGCATCATCCCGGTCACACACTGCGTTATCCGCGATGGTGCATATACTGTCTTCATTGAGACAGGTCACTGGTGGCTGCTCTTTTCGGCCTTCCTGTACATCTTTGGTGGAATACTCTAGTGCGTTTCCGTGCCTGTCTTTTGACAACTTGTGACAAATCATCCAGCGCAAACCGCATTCCCGAGTCGTTGTCTCCCGGAACTTTCGACTACTTCTTTGCGTCCCACCAAATCTTCCATGTCTGTGTCCTTGGTGGCGTCGGGGCCCACTATACTTGCGTCTTGCGCGGCCTCGAATACTCCTATTCGCATTTAGCGTCATGTGCAGCTTGATTCGGTGCCGGCTACCCCGATCTTAGTGCCCCTCCTCCGGACTCCGAGAGGTCCCATATCCAACTTGAACATCTGTCATTTAATTTGCTAGACATGCTCGTTACCTCTCTCTGGGACGAGTATATGTATTTGTGCCGCACTGTCTCATTGCCAATATCACTCGTTTAGAACAAACTTGCCTCCGTTCACCAGTCCCGATTACTGATTGATCTCAACTCAGGTCAACTTGGTACTAGTGAGTGGTTTTTGTCAAGATCAGACATACTGATTGTGCGAGATAGACGCATCGCGCTAAACTTGTCATCGAAGCCAACGTTCTTGTTTGAGACCTCACGGAGGAGATGGGAGATGATCATTCCCTCCCGCGTTGCAACTTAACCCTCTTCGCTCACACTTGCAGCCGTTCGAACAAAGCCCGAATGCCCGCCGACAGCAGCACCGCGAACATGCAGTGCCCATTCGGAGGATTAACGGCAAGTTACTGAGATGAATGGGAGCTATATCGATGGCCTGCAACATTACCCGTGACGCGTCATACTACTCTTGAGTTCTATTGCGAAACCTGAGCTAATCTAAACACTTTTCTGCATTTAGGTGTGGCTCTGCCTATAGCCTAGCGCTGAGTCAGAGTCGTCAAGGCAAAACACAAAGCGAGGCCCGACTTCGATTTGGGGGCCTTCTCCGAAAGATGTGCCCGTCCCACTGTCGTGTTGAGAGAAGAGCCGGCCCCCACTACGACGCACCCGAGGCCGTCTAGTAACTACACGTGGGGTAACTTCGACGCTTCCTCCTTTGGCCTTCTCATCCTTAATTTTTGATCTGCTGTTGCAGGTCGTTCTCGGGCCCGCGCCGTTGCCAAATGGCATTGTGGGACCCGTGGGCTTCTTTCCGTCACCCTTCAAACGCAAAATTAAAAATCGAATCAAGATCCACCAATCCGATAGTCTCCATACGCCCTTCGCCACATAATACAATTCCTGACTTTGAGCTTTTTTGCTTCGGGCGAAAATGCGAAGGAGGTCAGCGGCGAAATGCAGTGTGTGTGTTTGTGCGTTTGATTTTAGTCACAGAACCACGATTTTCCGAGGGAGCTTCTCCTCCTGCAGGCAGGCAGGCGTATAAAATGGGGCCCGGTTGCGCCGTCAAGTAGCCAGCTTCTTCGTTTGTGCTTCTACGATGCCTTGCATTGTCGGTCTCTACCAAGCAGCGCAAACATTGCTCTCTTGGCCACTGTCGTCGCCATTGGCCGCGGCCACAAGTCCGGGGTCGGGCCCACACTCGATGTTCTTCGCGCTCGGGCTCGGGCTAGTGCTGCTTCTCATTCCCGTCCTCCTCCTTGTCTCGCCATTCCTCCTACACAGACAACCGCTGCCTAATGACACCCCACCCACCCTGCCGGGCTTTCAATGGACGCATATCAGCTCGTTCTTCCATCGCAGACACGACTTTCTCGCCTGGGGCTTCCGCGTAACCGGTGCCAAGATCTTCCAGTTCAAGCTCATGGGTGTATGTGACCCGGCCTTTATTTGCCCCTGGCTTTGGCCCCCTAGCTGAAACGGAGTGCAGAACACCGTCATTGTGCTCTCGGGCCCGGTGGCCCGGCGCGCCTTCTTTTACCAGAAAGGCTTCGACCTGACAGAGGGCTTCAAGATGCTTTCTGGCGCGGTATTACTCTTTTGTTCCAACGCTGATGGTGTTGTACTGAACCCAGCGCAGATTCCAATGGTGCGCGGTGTCACTTCTGGCATCCACACGAAGCGCATTGCGACTATCCACAAACGGCTGGCGAGTGTGCAGCGCAACGCGTCGTTGACGGAACGTAGGCTACTCTGTTAATCTGCTAAAAGCTTGCTGAATGAACTCCGTCGGTTATAGTGATACCTCACATTCTCGAGGACGCCCAGCGCGTGCTGGAGGGGTTTAGTGACACGGGGAGTTTCGATCCGTTCGACAAAATCTACTCTGTAGTATAATCTCGCCCCTTTTTCGGGACTGTTGGGGACTGATAGGCTTGCAGCTCATTTTCCAGACCACCGTGCGGAGCCTTTCGTGCCATGAAATTGCCGACGATATGGCGCTGGTTGCGCAGCTCAAGTCGCTGTACAGCCAGCTTGACACCGCCACCACCCCTGCAAGCGTATTGCTCCCGTGGCTCCCCTCACCCGCGATGCTCAAGAAACTGTGGGCCACGAAGCAGATCTACGATATCATCGTCCACGCGATCGAGCAGCGAGAAAGAAATGGGTCAGAGCGGAACGACACGCTGCAGATGCTGCTCGAGGCGGGCGACGACAAGCTCACGGTTGTCGGCTTCGTGATGGGCCTGCTTATCGCTGGCGCGCGCGCGACAGGGACCACCGCGTCGTGGGTCGTCACGTTCCTGGGCGGTCACGTGGACTGGCGCGACAAGGCGCGGGCAGAGGTCGAGGGGCTCTTGGCTGTTCATTCCTCTTCTTCTTCCCGAAATCTGGCTGCCCGACTGGCCGAGATCCCCCTCACCAGCTGGGAGTCCGAGATGCCCGTGCTGGACGCGGTTATCCGAGAAACTCTACGTGTTGCCCAACCACACATCGCGATGCGGCGGAATATCGGGCCGGACACGTATATCGACCAGACGCGCATCCCAACGGGGGCGTACGTTGTCTACCCCTTCAGCGACATACATCTGGATGCCCAACTTTATCCTAACCCTTGGCGCTTTGACCCCGCGCGGACACAGCCACAGACATCCTCAGACTGGGCTTATGTCGGCTGGGGCGTAGGTTTGTGTCTTTTGTTTATTTGAGAACAGGTTATTCAAAACGATTGCAGGCAAAACGACGTGTCTCGGCACGCGGCTCGCCAAGCTGGAGCTCAAGCTGGTCCTTGCGCTCTTCCTCGTTGCCTTTGACCACGAGGTGGAAGGGCCGATGCCGAGTCCCAACTGGAACGACAGCCTGATGTGTCGTCCAGCCGAGTGTGTCGTGCGGTATACGAAGCGGGGCAACTGAATAGACAAACTCCCACTAGACTTATTGACCTAGATTATTTTCCTTTTTGTTGGTTGTTTAGAATCGTGTGTTTTATCGTAATACGTGAACAGAATATAGACCTCGTCAAACTGCCGGATATGGAAATTTGTGGCTTTAAATAGAAGGACAAGACAGGATAAAGATATGTCGTCTACTTGGCTGTGGACACACAAAAAGTTAAGAGAAAGCTTCCTCTCTTGCATGAAGTTAAATCGAGAACGAACCAAGAGTCAAATGAAGAGACTATGGCCAAACAACAGCCCACCACTTGTTTCAGAAGAATGCTTCCCAGTGCATGGAGAGATGACCGTGCCGTCTTAGCAGTTACAACAAAGAAGGTGCAGTGCTAGCGAACACGGTCGGATTCGGGCCAAAAAAGGCCGGATTGAGCCAGCCTAAACGGAGAACGCGCACGCGACGCGAAAAGCGCTCCAAAGTACTCTTTCAAGATACTTTTCCCAATGATACGTTTGAGGAATGAGATGCACACGAAGGGGTTATTACACGAATGCAATGAAGAGTTTGTTCTGTACACGAAAGCATTGAACCAAGCGCTGTTGCTTTTTTTGTGGACACCACCCCGCGGCTAGTCGAGACTGGCCTTTGCCGCATCCTCGACATCAAAGTTCTCGACGAGGTCGGGGACGTCGTCATCGTCGTCATCTTCAGCGGCAGGCCGCGCGCCAGTTTGGCCCTGGATTGCCTGGTATGACTCGGCCAGTTTGCGCAGCGATGCCAGCGAATCGGGCCCAAGTTGGTTGAGGATGCCGGGGACAAGCTCGGTCAGCTCCTTGACGTGGCCGGTGCCGTAGACAGCGAGCGTGTTGGCGGGGAGGGCGGCGTGAACTGCAGCAAACAAACAGATTCAGTCAGAGGTCAAGTGAGGGCAGAACAACACACACCTTTCGGGGCACTAAAATGCAGGACATTGCCATCCTCTCTGAACATGTTCACCTCCTCGACCCCAGGAATCGGCTGTACGTTCAGCTTCTTCAGCGCCCCCTGCAGCTTCTTGTCGTCCTGCACCCCCGCGGGCTTCGCTTTTCGCACAACTTTTCGTCGGACAGTGCCCTTCCCACCTGTCGGCATATCAGCAAATCGATGCACAGTCTTTTTTTTCCTTTTCGCGAGTCAAGACGCGCAAGTCCGCTCCACGCACCGATCCGTGCAGCAGCGGCCTGGGCCTGGAGCTTCGCTAGCTTCTCGGGGTCGAATTGTGGCGGCATTTTGGGAGGGGTGGTCTGGTGGTGTGGACCGTAGGTAAGTAGAAAAAAAGCGTGGGACGCGCAGACGACAAGGGCTTGGGGATCAAACAACCGTCAACAGCCTCGGTGATTACTCAGAAGTGTGACCATAGTCAGCCACGATGTGGGTCCACGGGTAAATGGCACGAATAGTGGCGCAAGGTGTCTACGTGGTCTGTGTGTCGCTATAGATGATTCTCAAGGAATTTGGGAGGGTTGATTGTGGCATTGCCATCGATCATCGATCAAATTCAGTTTCTGAACTCAACGCGTGAAACAACAGGATAAATAGCGATGGATAGAGAAGAATTGAGCCCAAGGTTATCTGGACAGAGGAATGTCGCCAACACAAAGTCAGATGGATGGTTCTTGCCAGTTGTAAGCAAACGAACATTTGATCATCACCAGGCCGTCGTGATCCGATCTCTTCTTTTCACGCCCCGGCCACTGGGCGATAGGCGTGTGTGTGGCCGCGGAAGTGGGTCGACCATCAGGTTCAGAAACAACAACCAGACAATAGTGCAGACTACTGCCAGCAGTATTCCGCTCACCCAGGCAGCCTTCATATTGGGAATATCTGAAGGAAGCAGGACCATCACATCGTATGCACGCCTGCCGAGGCCGATGACATCCGAGTTGCAGTAGCACCGGTCGAGGAAGCCGCTGAATTGGAGGAGAAGCATGACCACGATCCAGACCGAGTTGAGCGTCGCGAGGAGCTTGGCGGCTCGACGACAATATATCGAAATGTGTTCTGCAGCTTTGTGGTATGTGCTGTGCCGCGGCCCGGCCCGGGGCGAGATGGCGTAGTGGGCAAGAAATGCGCTTGCAACGAGAAGGACCCAAACGACGGTTGCTACGGCGGCATAGAGGAGGTATGCCGTCGAGCGACAACCAAAGCCCACAGTGGGGGAGTAATAGACGATTATGATGGAGCCCCCAATTGTGCTCCATTGAAGCGTGAGGCCGGCGACTGCCGCAATGAGGAATCGACTTGACAATCCAGACCCCGATCCCCAATGCGACCGGCTGACCGACGGGAGTGGGGAGCAATACTGGACAATCTGCTCGCTTGTCCCACGTCGATTGGCTTCATGAACAGTCTTACCGTCACTTGGTTGCCAGTCTGCCCCGGAAACAGTTTCACGGTTGTGGGCTTTCTCCTTTGCGGCGTCAAACACACATGCGATCTCTTCGACGACGTTTACAAAGGAGAAGAGGCGCGCATAGTTGTAGATGGGGGCGGTGGCTAGTTGGTCTGCATGGAGCTCTCGGTGTTGTGCGTAGTTTTGGATCGTTAAGGCGGATTCTCCGAGAACAGCACTGGCGTTGACGACCCCGTTCGGTCCTGCGACAACACAAAGCTGGTTGGCGTCGTTTAAAACGTCTTCTCCACGATTTAAATCACATCGAGGGGACAACTGCAGGTACCCTTCTCTTATGTAAGCCTAGGAAGATGACGTGGAGCAATTACACACCAATAGTTATCGGGATCATCCATAGCCAGATGCTCCCAACGCCGGAGAGGCCCCCTCCATTGCGGTTCGGATCGCTGGAGATCGTCGTGAATGCATCCACTACAGTTAGAGCATACGCGACGATGACCCAGGAAATAGAGGTGACGCCTTTAGAACGCGTGAGAAATGGATCATGAGTCCATAAGTACATACTTGCGATCGACCATGAATGCGGGTCAGCGTAGTTGAGGTCTTTCTCGAGTTTTTCCCACCAACGATCATTTTCGGGAAGCACGATGAGCGAAGCCAATAGTGGGTAATCGCCTGCGTCGGTGCTAACGGTGCGCCATGATTTAAGTGGCATTTGTTGCAGCTTTGAAAGGACGAGAGTTGCCCAGCTGCTGTTTGGATAGTTGACATTGCGGAAGCGGCGGACAACCCATTTGATATTGAGGACAGTGAGAGTGAGTGAATAGCCTGCGAGACATGGACTTCCGAGAGCCAAGGAGATGGACATCAGGTTGTCCCATCTGTAGCGGCAACCCTAGAAAACTCATCCAATGAGGTCAATGTCTAGGTCACAGAAAAAACATTCTCACAAAGGGGAACTGGGAAAGCAGAGCCAACCACGGTAGAAGCCACGCAGAAAGCTGCTGAGAGAATGATGACCAGGACTGAGAAAGCGTGCTCCCGCCTATCAACAAAACGGTTCAATAGAGACCTTGCAGGGTTTCAGATACTCACCTGCCCCGCAGGCCTCAACACATAGCTTGTATGTGATGGATGTAGCATTAGCGAAATCCGTCGTCGGATGACCATTGTTGTCAGTGATACCATTCGCGCCGAATTTACCGCTACGAATGTCAGCCAGACAGCCAGATAACTGGACCAAGTCCGATGCAGAGCTTGATAAGGGCATCAAGCATAAAATGGCGCAGAAGATGACCCGAACTAATGAAGAGCATAGTGTAAGTAGCTGGACAAGCACTATACAGCTGGAGCAGTAGGCACCTCGAATAACGTGCATATTGTTCCAGTCCATTGATGAAGGATTGGGTGTTAAAGCACTTGCAAACTACGCCTAGCGCGATTTTAAAGGGAGCCAGCGTTGACTGTCATTCATCTTCGGGATGTAACTGCGGACGAGGACATGCACACACATAGAGGAGGCGCCCCCATTCAAAGAGGTAGCGTGGCGTTGATAGAGCGCTTGAAAAATCGGCGTCGGGAGCCGCCCATGTGGAAATGAGTGCGATGAGATCGAACAAAAGGCGAGTCGAGCCGACTGGCGCATCTCTGGACTACTTGGAGAAAGCCGCAGTAACATGTCCTTATGGCAGCAGTGAAATATGCATCGGCGCCATTATCAAGGTAAGGAAGGCGACGAAAACGTGTCTGTTTATCAGTGGGACTCCACAGAGTTTTTGACTCGCATAGGCAGCGCATTGCATAGAGACGCAAAGTTAGGAACCCACAGTCGTGATAAATTAATCACGATGTAGTTGAATTCCCATTCAATATTAACAGCATTGGATGTCTTCGGCTTTTAAGCAGTGCAACTTTTCAGAAGAGACAATAGAGACTAGGTTTGAGGGCGGCGGGTCAACAAGGCAGGCTTGATGGTAGCAGAAGACAAGTTCCTTCATTCCAAAGCCGTTTCACGAAAACTTCGACCAGACGTTGACAGTCTGAAGGAGAACAGATTTGGTGCACGTGACCTGCTATCTTCTCTTCCTTCACTCCGCTGTTGCTATAGACTTCGATTTGATTCGCCGCGATGGCCGACTGCACCGATCCCGCCATCGACGCTGGTATGCGCTTGTCCTTTCGTCGCCCCACCAATTCACTGACCTCTCGTTGGCAGCCTACCAGGATGTGCGTTCCGACAAGTCCGAGACAAACTGGGTACTGCTCGACTACGAGGTTCATCCCTTTCTGGCTCCTCCTATGCACCATTAACGAAGAATGGGCAGAGCGACCGATCCGACAAGCTTACGGTGACGGCGAGCGGCAGCGGTGGGCTGGCAGAGCTGCGAGAAGCGCTCGATGACGGGAAGGCCTCTTTCGCATATGCTCGTGTGAGCTATTCCAACGACAAAGAGTCTACACGAGAGAAGTTCATACTGGTGGTGAGTCGGCGCGATATCTTGCTCGCGTCACACTGAGCATGTCTAGGTTTGGATAGGTGTGTTTTCCTGCTCGGAAGAACTTGGAAACCGACCTCAATTGTGCCAGGACCCCAATGCAAAGTCATGCGGAAAGCCAAAGTGTGTTCTCCAACCAATACTCGCTACCTCAATAATGAGAATGCAGATATCGGTCCATGCCGCGGACGTCAAACAAACGCTGCGCGTCTTTTCGATTGAGGTTGCTGCCCGCGAGAAGGACGACATCAACCATGATGCGATTGTTACTCGGTTGCGGAAGGTGCGCTTTTCGCCCCCCGCCCATTTCTACTCTCTTACTAGGACCCTTTAGGCTGGTGGTGCTAGCTACGACGGAGTGTGATTGCTTGTGAAATACTTGCCCCATAATTGTACATCTCCCGCGTCAGGCCCCCAATTCTTTCAGATCCTCAATACCGCCTTCCTCCAACCTCATCCCCATCCACTCTGACATCGGCTTCGCCTTGAGCGCCTTTTCGTAAAAGTCGATTGCTGGCTGGTTCCACTAACGGTCTTGGTTCAAATCACTTTCCGACTGGACAACTTCTCGTTACCTTGAGAACGGACCAGTCAAGCCGCGCGCAGTTCTACGTTGGTTCAATATATCGGATGATTAGGAAGAAAAGAAACAAACCTTTTCTTGTGCGATTTTGCCGAGTTCTGCGAACAGCGCTTTACCAAGGCCTGCACAATGCCCCTCAGTCCACACCATGCTGCCCAGGAGAGGGTACATAATGCCGGGCGGTTGATACGATGGATGGGGAACACAGACCTGAGCCACGACTCTCGGGGGTGACGTAGAGGTCTTCAAGCTGCCGATTTGGTTCAGTTCAAAGCTCTTTTTTTGCGAGTGAGCAGACGTGCATATAGTCCAGGACGGCCAGTCCATCTGAAGAAATCAGAATGAATTCTAAGAAAGCGGCTTTGACGCACGTCGAGTAGTTGAAGAAATATAACGCGAGGCCAACGGGTCGCGGGTTGTCTTCCGCAAACGCAAGCAGCGCGTGGGCGTAAGGTGTTTCGAAGAGGTTTTTTCGTAGCTACGGGGATGTGACTATTGCGTCAGATCTAGCAACCAGAAGCGCACGAGCTCAGGCGTGGCAACCACCGATTCGGGCTCTTTCTCGAACGTCGCCAGCTCGATTATCAAGCGCAGGATGTCATCCTCAAGAACGAATGGCCGTTGGCACGAGATAAGGAGAAGGGGAAAATAGCGCGTACAACGTCATCTACGCGGGCGGGGCGGATTTGGTGGGCCGGCATGGTAGTAGAGCTCAAGATGAGTGACCGCGACAAGGGTAGGCCGAGTTCGGGACTCCGGGCCGGTGGCGGGAGCAATTACACGCCAATTTGTGGTTGGTCCAAAAACCAATTGTGAACTTGGTACAATATCTGTACATAGGCAACTCGAACACAACCGTTTCTGAGCTAGGAAGCACACGATTCTGGCCAGAGAAAATCGCCCTTGTCCAGCGGTATCTGCGTGTAAAAAGCACGCAACTCCTTGCTCAGTCGTGGTCGATCCGCTCGAGGAGTGTACCGCGGAATCGGACGGACAAAGAACATCGTCCGCCAGACCTGGCGTACGCGTTGGTACAAACGGAGTGAATGTCGTTGGCCTGGCTGACGTAATTGCCACCAGGTCAAGCCGCTACACAGTTTGTCGAAGCGCTCGCAAACCTCCCCAATGGTGGGTCGCATCGAGGGATCCAGTAACGTCATTTCAGTGATGAGGGGTTCCAGGAAACCAAGAGATGGACGGATTATACCCTGGAGAACCTGAGTTAAAAACTTGTGGAAAGTGAGACACACACTTGGAGTTCGTCTTTCTGAGAGAAGAGGAAGTATTTCTTCAAAAGGTTGCCCAAGCAGTAGATGTCGGTCGGAAATGGATTGCACAGCTGGTGGGTTCTGAATTCCGGAGGCGACCTATCGCCTCCTATGATGACATATTCGAGCGGCGGCCCGTCCGAGGGATCATATTGTCTCGAGAGACCGAAGTCGATCACGAAATATCGGGGCCAGCATTCCGTGCGGGTGATATAACGAGCAGGCCAATCGGACGTGGCAGACTGCCAGGTATGCACAGGGTGATACCCAGAAGGAAAGAGACGGGAAGGGTCTTGAACGATGTTGAGTCGGCTGCAGTCCCTGCACACAATTAGATAATGTCAACGGAGAGTGTTCACGCATATACCGATGAGCGACAAAGTTTTCGTGCATAAATTCAAAGGCCTAGGATAAGTTAGTTGAAGCACTAAGATGCGAAGCGTCACTGACTTCGAATATTTGTCGAAAGCAATGAATCACCTCCCCCACAGTGTCGAATTTGGGTTGGCAAAAGTCAATGAGTCGTGGCATAACGATGATTTGTTTGTCAGAATCCTCTGGGTCTTGAAGAACCTCCAAGATAGGTACGCAGTGGTTTCTGGGATCTCTGGCAAGTTCAGGAGAGGAAAACAGGCCAGCAAGCTCGACTTCGTGAGGGTGGACACTCGTGGACACGGTTTTCAGCATGACAGGTTTGTTGTCTGAAATGCGATGTGCATCCATTAAGGTCCGCTTCTATGGGGGTGTCAAGGGAGAGAAAGTCAATGGAGCAATTCAAAGACGCACAAAATGAGTGGCTTCATAGTCTTCCAATGCGCGACGACCAACATCCGGTATAAAATCCGGATGAAATTTGGGTCTGAGGCGGTATCCTGCAGTCTCTAAGAAGTCGCGACGGTCGAACCAGTACACCTCATGGGTCGAGCGCTCCAATAGGTGGTAATCGCGCATGGCAGACATTTACGCTCAGCATAACGCCGACACAGACACGCATAAGCCTGCAGGTGGTCGGGAGTCAGGGCGTGATCAGCACGTGATATTGAATTGCCTTGTTGTCCTCAACCAACTCTTCGTGCATGGAATAGTCGATCTAGCTGATTCCGGAAACATGAGCTACGCATCCTATACGCCACACTCAGTGTGGGAGGGCAGCTGATGGGAGAAGCCTTCTATCAACGAAACCAAACTGAAATTACCAAACTTGGACCAGTACAAGTCACCTTTTTAGGCCACGGGCCTGATTGTTCTCGAACATTGGCTTGCGACTGGCGCCTAATGGATGCTGTTCCACGCTTCTTTTTGCCATGCAACAGACACCAAGGTTAGTGGTTGCCTGTGGGTCCCATCATTGCCGACTTTTCCCAAAGTCACTCCCTGACAAGCGGCTGCGTTTAAAACCTTGTTCCATGGGAGCGAAGTGTTTGTAAGTTTTGCATTCTGCCGCGCATAGAATCAAGTTGATTGCAGCTGTCCTGCAGATCTGACTGTGTTCTCTGGTGCGACACGAATATACCCATATGTATTGGAGCCTTGCCCATCAGCTGTGTGTGTTGACAGTGACTCAGAAAAACCGACAAGTACAAAAGGCACAATGGACCCCAACAGCCTGGGATCTTGCTCCTCCACACACACAACGTGCCTTGTTAACGTTGTTCTCTGTTTTGCCATGCCCATACCCATTGCTGAATCTCAGCGTCACTGCTCTCGTGCTAAAATAACAGCCAAGGGGAAGCAGCCCACACCTTACTCGAGGGGCACGCATTCGACTTCTGGCGATGGGAGCAATGCCATGACCGAACCTACGTTGAAATCCGGTCTGCCTGCAGAAAGTCGATCACAAAGACCATTCTCGCCGCCATCTCTCCTCAGTCCAGAATCGCTATTCCCCACCCTCGACCTTCCTCTGACTTCCGTCCAAACAAACATTCCAGACCCGGGTGATTTTGCAGTGAGTTTTTGTTGACGTTAGCGACTGCGAGGCCTCCTCAACTCGTCATCATGCAGCTAGGGACCCGTGTTTGCATCCGCCGCTACCACCGTGATATCACCAAGGGGAAAAGGTATTGGAGCAGCTGGCAGGACGGAGTTGTTGTCAAACAAATGCAATGGAGCGCTAATGTCCGTCCAGTCGCCTATTTGATGTGTTCTGATCGAAAACCCAGTTCGATGAGTATGGTCCTGCGTACATTTTTTTTTTTTTGTATCCAGTTTATTTGGCCTTCGCCCTCGGGCATGGTAGCCATCGTCGTACACAACAAATGTATCTATCCTCGCCCTCGCATATCCATCTTTTCCTTCGGAATCATGCCCTCGGCCCAACATTTGGTCTGTCGGGCGGGCGCGCTCCCAGAGCGCGAATAAGTGTGCTGTGGGTATGTAAGGTATGGTAGGTGTAAGTAGCCGTCTTCTGCGGCAGTGCTGTATATTAGTTGTTCATGGTAACGAAGAGGGGGAAGAGAAAAATGAAGGTGGTATAGTAGTCAGCCTACCGTGCTCCAGGGGAGGACATTCTGGGTCGTGTCATGCTCGATTTCGGGACTCTGCTTTTGCACGTTCTTTTGCTAAGACATCTAGGTCGGCGATGTTGCCGTGGACAGGTCGAAACCTCCCCGTGGCTGCTATGAACCTGAAGAGGTGGGGGTAGAGCTTGGAGTGCCGAGCAGTTTTCGTATTCCTCTCGTGAGTGGTCCCCCTGCTCGTTGTAAGCGGCTGCGTGGTTCGTCGTGTGGCACTGCAGTGCAGGAGGTAGTATGCGACGGACTCGTCTGCTTGCCGACAGCATGGGCATATGGGTGAGTCGGCCCGATTGATTCGATGGAGGTGTTTCGCGAGTGTGCAGTGGCCCGTTTGGAGCTGTAGAAGGATGGTCGCGTGGCTTCTCGGCATGCTTGCGGTAGTTTGTTTTATGAACGCGCCTCGGTCGAAGTTTGTGGTCGTATTGCATGGTCCTCTGGTACCGGGCGGACTCTCTCCAGAGCTTATCGGCCTTCTCGCGCAACTCCTTGTTAATGTCCTGCCGCACTGCCGACTTGCTGACTGGCAATTCCGCTCTGAGGTCCAACGGTAAGCAATCCTTGGGTGATGCAGATGTCGTCGCTGCGCGCTTCGCCTCTTGGTCGGCGCGTTCATTCCCCAGAATGTCCTTGTGACCCGGAGCCCAGCGGACTGTTATAGCTATGTCAGTATTGTATTTTAGCAAGTCGCTGCACGCTCTGTGCCATGTGTCCCATATCCAATGCGATGGCGAGGGTTTCGTGAGTTTGACGGCTCTGACGGCCGCTTGGCTGTCGACGACCAAAGTTACTCTGCCACTTACTGCCGGTTCGTCCCTCAACAATTTTATCGCCAAGTTGCACCCAATTCCTTCTCCCTCGTAGACTGTGTGTTCGGTGTTGTGTCCTAGTCGTAGTCGTAGGCTTGCTGATTCGTGGCCGTTACGGAAAAGCACTGCCGCTGCTCCAATTCTCCCCTCTATGCCTGACCCGTCTGAGTACACGACCCACTCCGCCTTCTCCGCCTTCTCTACGTCGATTGCCTCTTCCTTGGAGTTCGGGATGATGATCCCGACATTTCTTGTCATTTTCGGGAGGACGCGGACGGGTTGGATTGTTTCGAGTTCGTCAGGGTGGTACGGAAGTTCTTTCATCAACTCCTCGACTGAGGTCGGGAACTTTCGCTTTCTCCTCCTCCTTCGATTGATTTCCTCGTGTAGTGGGTATGTTTCCGGGAGAGTGGCCAGCCGTAAAGCCGCCATGCTTCGCTTTTTCTCAATGAGCTGCTGTACCCCTTGAGCCGCTTCCTTGTTTGCGTTAAGAAGACATCCGCTCCATAGAGCATTTTGGGGCCTGCGTACATTGTGAGGCTCGACCGCACCTCCCAGACGGAACAATATCTCAGGTGCCTTGGTGAAATCACCGCACGGGACAAACACCAAGTTAGCGACCGGTTTCTGCCCCTCCTGCTCTTCGCTGCAGTGGAGCGGTGGATGTTCCAAGTAAGCCCCATTGCGATCGTTGATTGCTTTCAAGTTGACCGCGCTCGCAGGACGTTGTTAAGCTGCTAACCGAGGAAGGCGATTGGGCCATCACGCATCTCTTGCCTTTGGATGCTGTATGCCGCTTAGGAATTTGTCTGTCAACTCTCTCAGTGCATTTGACAGGTTTGGAACGACGAGTTCAAGCACCCGCAGTATCACGTTGAAATAGTTCATGGCCCGAAGGTAGGCCAGCGATATATTGTTAATAGTGAAGACTTGCTTCCGATAGTGGATGGTATGTAAGTAGTCATTCTTGATCATGAAGTCCTGTTTGTACTTGCTTGATTACATCAACTACTGCTATCTAATCTCCACTCCCATGAAATTACGTTGACTTGAATGACTGGCAGCACACTGTCGCCGGGAGGCGGACACAGGGGATTACTTTCCTCATCCA